GAAGAAGGTTACAAATTAAAACCATTTGATCAAGTTAAAGATAAGTTAAACTGGTTACATTATCACCAGATTAATGAATTGTACAAATTGGATAAGAAAAACGGTTTTGCATCTGAAAAATCTAAGTTGGAGATGGAGTTGTTGGATACTAAAGGTAAAAATTTATCTAAAATGTATAAGTTATTGTTGGAGTGGCATACAAAAAATGAACAAGTTAAATCTGTCATGATAGATTGGCCAAGAGATGTAGGACATAATATAATGTTTGAGGATTGGGAAAGAATGTGGAAGAAAGGGGTCAAGTTCATTGCATGTACTGTGTTAAAGGAAAATATAATGAAAATGATGTGCAGATGATATTTGATTCCTGTAAAATTAGCAAAGATATATCATAACTGTGATAATCTATGTTGGAAATGTAAAGAAAAGGAAGGAACCTTTTATCACATGTGGTGGACCTGTCCCTAGGTGAAAGACTTCTGGGAAAAGATTTATAATGAATTGAAAAAAATGTTGAAATATACATTTGTAAAGAAACCAGAGGCCTTTCTTCTTGGAATAACAGGTTTGGAATTGCCCAAGAAAGATGTTAAATTATTTTTGTATGCCATAACTGCTGCTTGAATTTTAGTAGCTAAAAAGTGGAAAACACAAGAATTACCAACGGTGGAAGAATGGCAGATAAAGATGATGGATTTTTCGGAGCTAGCCGACCTAACCAGAAGAGTCCGCGACCAGGAGGAGGAGGAGGACCAGGAAGAATGGACTAAATTTAATGATTACTTGGTTAAATATGTCAAGTTAAATTAACTGGAAACAGCTTGCAGTTACTCAATTGGCTTAGGATTTTATATAAGTTAAGTGATGAATTAAAATGTTTAATTTCAAAACGAAAAGATCTAAGGATGTTAATGTTCAAGTTAAACTTTATAAGAATTGTGATTTGGAAAACCGTTAAAAGGATATGCATTGAAATTCAACCAAGGGGAAGTGAGGAAGTCACTTAACAATGTTAATAAGTGTAATTTTTAATAAGGTTATGATTTATGTCTGTTTGTTTTATGTGTTTGTTTGTTTATAATTCTGTGAAAACTAATACAAAAAATTGGGGGGGGAGAAAAAGAAAACTCCATGGACATAAAAAAGGAGAAGCTTTGAGTGAGAGTTTCCTTTTTTATATATTTTTTATTATTATTCAAAATTATAACAAGACATATCATCCTTGTCCCCCCCCCCATTTTTCCTCCCTCCCCCCTCCCACACAACCCCACCCCCACCCCCGACTTCCCTCAGTTCCAGTCTTTGGTTTCTCTAAGAATGCTATTTTCTGCATGTTACAAAGTTGTATAGATCCTCAAACTATTTAGCTAATTATTATCAATAAAAGGTTTGTGAATGTTTATACAAAACCTGCCAAGGAGTCCAGTTCACTTTGTTGCGTCGTCAGATACTTCGTAAAGGGTTCCCATTCATCCTTAAAGTCACAGTTATCCTTGTCCCGTAGCTTATATGTGAGTGAGAGTTTCCAAGGCATACTCGGGTTCATGGGGGTCACGGAGAGTCGAACACGACTAACAAACAACAAAATATACAACCTAAGCATAGGATGGAGGGGCTCATAGCATAGAGACCCCCAAAAGGTATATCTTCTCCCATAAACAGCCTTTGCATCAAGCAGGAATCAAGCATGTCTCTGCCTGTCCGCTTCTGCCTGCTTCCAGCTTCACTCACACACTGTTTCTTCCAGTATCGTGGCCACCCATTAGCCCACCATCAGTTAACTGCAGCCCTGGCAACCCAGTTCCTTCCTTTGGGAGGCTGATCATGATGCTTAACTCCTTGGCCAACAGCCTTTGTCTAGACAAAGGGAATGCTTAGGGGGCAAGCAGGGCTTAGGAAACTTAACTGATGAGCCCAGCAATGGAATCCTCCATTATATATTAACCCTCGCTGGATCTGAGAATCATCTCCTTTCTTGTAACCCAAATCCATTGGTTTGGGTCCTACCCTCCAGAGCAGGAAAAAACAAGCTTGCTCCCTCCTTCATGCAACAGGCCTTGAGAGATCTGAAGAGGGCTATAATTTCTCCTCTCAGTCTCCTTTTTTCAAGAACCACAGGAATCAGAACACCATGCAGACTGACACCCTTTATCTCCACCCCCAAAAAACTCACAACAATGTGGAGTGATGGGTCCTAGCTTACATCAAAATGAAATCAAATCAGAAACCATAATCTTAAAGACCTATACAGAACTCTTCGTCTTAAGCTGTGTGGGTTGGTTTCTTGAAAACTTGCACGTTTCCTACAGAAACTGACCCACAATTTCAAAGAAAACTTCCCTTCCTTATTTTATTCAAAGCAGTTTGCAACTTCGAAGTGGCCAGGAGTCTGAGGCATCCCTGCGAAGCATTGCCAGGACATTTCCAAGTGGGGGGGGGGGGGACAGCCACGTTGGGCTCTGCTTGGAAGTCTTTGCTACGTGTTTTGTTTTCTTTATGGCTATTCAGAGCAGTCCAAGCCACAGTCTCCTTAGCGATGGCTTTGCGGCAAACTGTTTCCAAAGGCTGAGCCCAGCTGGGTGCTTTTGCCTGGGACAAATGCAGCTCAAAGCAGAATTTCCTCCCGCTGGTTTCCTGTGGCCTTCCCAGGCCAGCCACTGCTATTCCTGGTGGCCATGAGCTGAGGCATCAAAATTAGAGTGTTCTGGGAGAGGGGAGAGAAGGGGGGTGAGCTCTCCATCCGGTGGATTTGAGGGCAGGAAGACCCAGCCAGGGAGAAGAGGAGCAAACTCTGCACAGAGCAGCTGGGAGACACACTGTGTCCAGCCCTACCTACTCCTGCTGGTGCCACACAGCAGTCCCTACTCCACAGTTGAAAGCATTGGATTGTTTAGTGCGGCAGCACCTGCACTTTGGAACTCCCTGCCAATTGAGACAGAGCAGGCACCTTTGCTCTGGCAGAGGGCCTTCTCGGTGGTGGCGCCTGCCCTGTGGAACTCCCTCCCACCAGATGTCAAGGAAATAAACAACTACCTGGCTTTTAGAAGACATCTGAAGGCAGCCCTGTTTAGGGAAGTTTTTTTAATGTTTGAAGTTTTATTCTGTTTGATATTCTGTTAGAAGCCACCCAGAGTGGCTGGGGAAACCCAACCAGCTGGGATTATTATTATTATTATTATTATTATTATTATTTTCCAGCGCCTGCTAAAAACATTCTTGTTAGACAAATGTTTAGAAATGCTGCTGTGCTTCAGCTTGGAGCTCTTTTATTAGTTCTGTTCACTGGGGCCCGGTATTCAGGCCTCAGGGAGAAGAAGGCCGAGTACAGAGCCCATCTCCGCGATCCCCATCCCCCACCTGGTACGCAAGTGCCGGCATCACAGTGGCAGGAGCAGGACGCCCGTGTGGCTTGACCTGGCCCAGCGCACAAGTGCTCAGACGCTGGGTGGGGGCAGAACGCATCCTGTGACATCATGCGATGTGTCCCCCAATGTGGCAAGTCAGCACCCCTGGTTGTGTTAATAGACTATACACAGCATCTTCCCTCATACTGTGGAACACTTAACACCTGTATTTATATTTCAGTACTTTATTCCCATCTTGTTCATTGCATTTACTGGCGATGATCTTATCCTTTTATATTCTTTATCAAAAGATTTCAGGGCCTGGTTGAAGAGGAGCATTTTTGCCGGGCACCTAAAGATGGTTAATGATGTGTTTAAATATTATTTTCCTGGTCTTATTCTTATACTTTGTCTCACTTGTAATAGAGTTATGCTGTTATTCTAGAGAATGCACTGTGTGTGGATTGCAAACAAAAAATAACTACTGGTATGTGGGAGTCAGGGCGGGGTTAAAAGTTATATTTCCTGTTGACTCAGAAATAACCAATATCTGTATTCCTGGAGACATTCTTATTATTCTGTACCTAGATATCATTTTTCAAAATAAAATAGAGCATACAAAGAAAGAAATGATGGTGTGAAACTTAGTATTTTAACTTTTTTGTAAGCTTTAACATATTGGGAATTTTTCCCAATTTCACTGTTTTATATTTTATTGTTTTTATTTTTATGCTTAATCTTTTTGCAAGCTGCTTTGAGAGGTGCTTGCTTTTACCATCAAGCGACATTTGGTGAAGCGAGTCAGCAGATCCCTCCCCTGTGGAGAGGCTGGTCTCCCACAAGCAGCACCAAGGAAAGGACTGCGAGGTCTTCCTTGCGGAGGCTCCTCTTAGTAGTAGAAGAAGAAGAGTTTGGATTTGATATCCCGCCTTTCACTCCCTTTAAGGAGTCTCAAAGCGGCTAACAATCTCCTTTCCCTTCCTCCCCCACAACAAACACTCTGTGAGGTGAGTGGGGCTGAGAGACTTCAAAGAAGTATGACTGGCCCAAGGTCACCCAGCAGCTGCAGGTGGAGGAGCGGAGACAGGAACCCGGTTTCCCAGATTACGAGACTACCGCTCTTAACCACTACACCACACTGGCTCTCAGCTCTTAGCAGCAGAGGTGGGCGATTTGGGGAAGGACCTCACCACCCACTGTGGCAGAGCACCCACTTTCCGGGAGGAAAGCCCCAGTTCAACCACCGCTGGCATTTCCCGGTGGGAAAAGGCTCCACCCCAAACCCTGGAGAGCAGAGAAGACTGAGCTCGTAGGAAAAGAACTGAAAATCAAGTTGCCGAGATCATGAGGCTGTTCTACAATGGAATGCAGTGTGCAGTTCTGGTCCCCTGGCTACAAGAATTATATTTTGGAGCCGGGAAAGTTTCAGAAAAGGGCCACTGAAAGGGTTGTGGGGGTGTATGCAACAACAGCAGCAAGAATATTCATCGCAAAGTATTGGAAGACACAAGAACTTCCCACGCTGGAGGAATGGCAGATGAAACTTATGGACTATATGGAATTGGCGGAAATGACTGGCAGAATCCGTGACCAGGGAGAAGAGTCGATGGAGGAAGACTGGAAGAAATTCAAAGACTATCTTCAGAAACACTGCAAAATTAAGGAATGTTAGAGTGATGTTGGATTGAAAATAAGTGGTTTCCAGCTGTACAGGTTAAAGCTAAGGATAGATTAAGATTAAAGATCAAGATTAAAGATGTTTAAAGAAATGGAAATTTGATAATAAAAGGGAAAAATTTAAAGGTATATGACATTAAGAACAAGGATTATGTTTAAAAAAGTTGAAGCTATATATTTTAATATTTTACTAAATTAAAGATTGGGTTTAAAAAAGTGGAAAAGAAACTGCTGGACAAATAATGTAGATTGGAATACAAAAGAGGGAGGTATGAGGAAGTCCAGAAAATAAGTAATTTAAAATTGGGAATGGAAAAGAGAGTTTCTTTTTAATTGTTATGTTTTGTGTTTTTATTGTTAAATTTTGTATTGTTTTTCTGTGTGTGTTGTTTTTTCTTTTTTCTTTGTTTAAAACTTTAATAAAAATTATTTCAAAAAAAAAAAAAAAAAAGAAAGGGTTGTGGGGAATGAAGTGACTTCCCTGAGAAGGAAGGTTGCAGCGTCTGGGACTTTTTAGTTTAGAGAAAAGAATAAGAGGCGACACAATAGAAGGTTGTAAAATGATGCCTGGCACAGAGAAAGAGGACGAAGTTTTCCTTGTGGGCATCCAGTGAAGCTGAAGGTTGAAAGAAGCAGGACTTCTTCATGAAGCACAGAGTTAGACTGTGGAACTCCCTCCCTCAGGAGGCCTTGGGTGCCTTTAGCAGAGGACTGGACACATCCATGCAGAAGGAAGGGGCTCAGGAGGGCTGCTAGGCCATGGCTCGGCTCTGCTTCCAGATCCCAGTTCCTGGAAGCCCCAGGAGTGGAAGGAAGAGCGTGCCTGTGCTCGGATGCTGGGCAAATGGGTCTTTGGCCGGATCCAGCGGCCAGGCTCTTCTAAAGTTCTTAAGTTCTTAAAAGGCCTGTCTGGAGCCATCTGTGCCCTGATCTTCCTCTCCTGCTCCCCCGCCCCGCCCCACAGCAGACAAACCCCTCAGCGCTATAATCCCTTTGAGGGATTAGAAGAGGACAATCGGAAAGAGACTCGCCATCCGACGCCCTGCCGGAAAAAGGATTAAATCAAGTCTCGGGAGGCTGAGCCCAAGGCGGGCAGGAGGAGGCGGCCCTTCCCGGGACTCCTTCGAAGGCTGGCGCTCTCCGTCACTGGAGCTTCCCCCTGCCAGGGAGGCTTTCGCTGCTGTTCCTGCCTTGCAGGGGGTCGGGCTAGATGACCCTTGGGGTCCCCTTCCAACTCTACGATCCTATATGGAGCGGAACCACACACACACACACAGAGCGGATGAATGAGCGGCACCGCCTCCCTCCCGCCCGCCCGGATCCCGTTCCCAGGACAAAGGCGGACAAAGGAGCCTGTGTCTCGGTGCCAGCGGAGCGGGAGGCGGCCCTGGAGCCTGGGATGGGGCAGGGGAGAAGAGGAGCTGCAAGGGGAGGAACGGCGCCCACCCCCAGGGAGGGGCCGGCAAGCAACCGGTGCCCCTGCGGCCTCCCGCCGGGGCCAGACGGTGAACCTGCCGGGGCCTGTTTCTCCCTCCGCGTCTCTGTCTCTCTCTCGGATGCCTCGTCAGCCGCCTGCAAAATTGCTGACTGGGGTGGCGGGCGGGGGTCTGGGAGGCTTCGACAGGCTCCACTCGCCCTGGGGCAGCCACCTGCTTTCCCCCTCCCCCACGCAGCCAAGGCTTGACCCCTCTGGGTCAACCAAACACCGCTGGGCAACTGAGGCAGACAAGCCAGGTGCTGGGACTCTCCCCTTACCCTGGAGAGCAGAAGAAACCAAGCTTGATGAGGAACGGTTGAAGGAGCAGAGTATGAGAGGCAATAGGATAGCCATCTTCAAATATCTCAAGGGCTATCCCATGGAAGAGGGAACAAGGTTGTTTTCTCCTGCTCTGGAGGGTAGGACTCGAACCCAAGGCTTCAAGAAAGGAGATCCAGATTCAGTGTCAGGAAGAACTTTCTGACAATAAGAGCTGTTTGAGAGTGGAATGGGCTCACATGAGAAGTTGTGGACTCTCCTTCCTTGCAGGTTTGTAAGCAGAGGTTGGATGCCCATCTGTCATGGGTGCTTTCACTGAGATTCCTGCATTGCAGGGGGTTGGACTAGAAGACCCTTGTGGATCCCTTCCAACTTTACGATTCAGTGATTCCAAGAATCATAGAAACATAAAGTTGGTAGGGTCCCCCAAAGGTCATCCAGTCAAACCCTCTGCAATGCAGGAATCACAGCTGACCATGAGCCCTGTAAGAAGAGCCTGCTGGATCAGGCCACAGGGGGCCCATCTAGCCCAGCATCCTCTTCTCACAGCGGCCAACCAGATGCCCCCCAAACAGGATTGAGCACGAGAGCAGCTCCCCCCTCCTGGGGTCACTGGCAACTGGGATTCAGAAGCGCGGCTGCCGATCAGAGCCACCCCAGCAGAGCCATTGAGGGCCTCTCTTCCACCATTAAAGTCATCCAGGTTGGTGGCCATGGCTGCCTCCTGTGGGAGGAAGTTCCACAGTTTGCATAAGGAAGGCCTTCCTTTTACCTGTCCTGAATCTTCCAGCATTCAGCTCTCAGTGTTGGGAGAGAGGGAGGAGAACTGAAGATGGAGTGGTCATCCAGTCACATCCCTGTCCTCTTTTGCTGCCCACTGTGCTTGGACCACAGGGCATGTGAGGCCACAGCTGGCCATCGGGTGAGACATGGGGGGGTGGCAAGTTGCCCTGGCCCCCAACTGCACCAACCCCCCCACCCTTGCACGACAGCGGCAGTCAGGGCAAGTGTCAGGAGCAGGTCAGTCAGTGCAGTTAACTCTCCTTATTCAAAGAAATAGAACAACTCAGGAGGCCAGGCTAGGGAGCATGTCGGGTCTTCCTGGCAGGTCTTGCCCCAATGAGGCAGTTGCAAGGACTGAAGGTCTTTCCCCAGTTGCCTCAGTCGCCTCCTCCCCGTGGTCCTTCCCAAGCGATCTGAGGCTCCTTTGTCTTGCTTGTCTTTGCTCCACCCTCTTAATACCTCTTCTGGTTCAGGGAAAGCAACTGGACAGGAACTGCCCCACACAGGAGGGGGAGACACCTGCGAGTCTTCACCAGCCCCACTCATCTCTGCCTCTTGGCCTTTGTCCTCCTACTCTCCTGCTTCTGTTTCTGCCTCTCATTCTGGACTTCTTTCTGCCACAGAGTCTTCCTGCTCACTAAACCCTGTTACTGCTTCAGCTTCTGATACCTCCTCAGCCCCGTCTTTTCCCTCTTCTCCCTCTGACCCTCATGGTTGTCTCACCACCCCTTTCCAGGCTCTGGGCCTTCTTCCGTTGGGGATTCCCCACCTGGTTCCTCCCACCATTCCTCTGTAGGCACCCACTTCATGACAACACCACTAGCATCCTTAGGTCTGCAGGGGCTCCTCCTTGCCCCTCGCCTGCCCCAACCCCAGAGCTTACCTGGTTTGAGCTGGGACCATTTTGCAAAAGAAGTGCTCTGCCACTGAGATACAACCCTTTCCTTTTTCTTTTAAACTGGCTGGGGGAGGCGGAAGCCCCTCTCTCTCTGGGCTGCCGTGGAAAATGGGGGCTGGCACTCTTTTGTGGGGACTTGGCCTGGAAGGTCCCTCTGTCCCTTTGGCGCCAGGCTCCCTGCTCAGGGAATGGAAAGGCACAGACCGGGCTCCGTCCAGGACACCTGGCGTCCAGAGTGGGTGCCTGCCAGGAAAGGTCCTTTGGGGTCAGGAGGAACCGTGACTCAGCAGGCGAGACACCGAATTCCTCCTCGCTCCCGCCAACAGGGGTGGGGGCCCTGGCCCCAGATCCTTTTCCAGCCAGGATTGCACCTGGGAGGTGTCAGGCTACAGCTGCTCTGCACATTGATCTGACCCAGGGGGACAGAGACTCTCCAAGGGCTCTTGCAACAGGCTCCTCCCAAAATGTGGATCCCATTGTGCCCCCACTCCCAAAATGAGCCAAATGTAAGAACATTGGGAAGATTTGCAGTGACCAAAAAAAGGAGTACTTCTGAGCAACCCAAACAGCCCCTCCTGGACATCAATTGTGGCTTCTATGCAGTCAGCATCATCTAACAGAAATTCCTGCATTGCAGGGGTTGGACTAGATGATCCCCAGGGCACCTTCCAAGTTTACAATTCTGTGATTCTACAATACCCACCCTGCTGCTCCTCCCAAAAGAATCCAGAGCAGCCTTACAACATAATTTGAAAAATACAAAAAAAGGAAAATGAAACACATTTTCTGTGCAGCAATCCTTCTGTCCGCACCTCAGACTACAGACCTGGGTGAACAGGAATGCTTCTATAGAGTCATCGGATTGTAGAGTTAGAAGGGACCCCCAAGAGTCATCTAGTCCAACCCCCTGCAATTCAAGGATCTTCACTACAGTATCCAAGGCAGAGGGCCATCCAGCCTCTGCTTAAAAACCTCCAAGGAAGGAGAGTCCACCGCCTTCTGAGGGAGACCTTTCCATTGTTGAACAGCTCTTGCTATCAGAAGGTTCTTCCAGATGTTTAGTCAAAATCTCCTTTCTTTCATGCCCAAATGTTGGTGACAAACACGCATCACCAAGGGGGGACCCCCAAGGGTCATGTAGTCCAACCCCCTGCAATGCGAAGAATCCGTCAGCATGGAGCCTCCAAGAAGGAGAACTTGAGTCTTGTCTCTCTCTCCCATGCCCAGCGGTGGAGGCCGGGAGATGCCGTCTTTAAAGCACTGAGAGTCCCCTGGCCATTCAGGGATTTGCACATGCATCACCAGCACCTCAAATGGGGCCTGGCAGCCCCCAGGCAGGCAGCACAGTGCTTCGGGGTCTGCTGGCACATGGGATCCCCTCCCTGCCCACCCCTTGCAAGAGCTCAGCAGCGGCCTTTTGCACCAGCTGCAGCTTCCAGGGCAACTTCATCAGAACATGAGAACAGCCTGAGGCTGGATCAGGCCAATGACCCGTCTGCTCCAGGGTCCTGTTCTCACAGCAGCCAACCAGACGCCCGATACACAAAGAGCATGTTGCCTGGTCTCAGCAGGAGGAATCATAGAATCATAGAATCATAGCGTTGGAAGAGACCACAAGGGCCATCGAGTCCAACCCCCTGCCAAGCAGGAAACACCATCAGAGCACTCCTGACATATGGTTGTCAAGCCTCTGCTTAAAGACCTCCAAAGAAGGAGACTCCACCACACTCCTTGGCAGCAAATTCCACTGTCGAACAGCTCTTACTGTCAGGAAGTTCTTCCTAATGTTTAGGTGGAATCTTCTTTCTTGTAGTTTGGATCCATTGCTCCATGTCCGCTTCTCTGGAGCAGCAGAAAACAACCTTTCTCCCTCCTCTATGTGACATCCTTTTATATATTTGAACATGGCTATCATATCACCCCTTAACCTCCTCTTCTCCAGGCTAAACATGCCCAGCTCTCTTAGCCGTTCCTCATAAGGCATCGTTTCCAGGCCTTGGACCATTTTGGTTGCCCTCCTCTGGACACGTTCCAGTTTGTCAATGTCCTTCTTGAACTGTGGTGCCCAGAACTGGACACAGTACTCCAGGTGAGGTCTGACCAGAGCAGAATACAGTGGCACTATTACTTCCCTTGATCTAGATGCTATACTCCTATTGATGCAGCCCAGAATTGCATTGGCTTTTTTAGCTGCCGCGTCACACTGTTGGCTCATGTCAAGTTTGTGGTCAACCAAGACTCCGAGATCCTTTTCACATGTACTGCTCTCAAGCCAGGTGTCCCCCATCTTGTATTTGTGCCTCTCATTTTTTTTGCCCAAGTGCAATACTTTACATTTCTCCCTGTTCAAATTCATCTTGTTTGTTTTGGCCCAGTTCTCTAATCTGTCAAGGTCGTTTTGAAGTGTGATCCTGTCCTCTGGGGTGTTAGCCACCCCTCCCAATTTGGTGTCATCTGCAAATTTGATCAGGATGCCCTTGAGTCCATCATCCAAGTCGTTGATAAAGATGTTGAATAAGACCGGGCCCAAGACAGAACCCTGTGGCACCCCACTAGTCACTCTTCTCCAGGATGAAGAGGAACCACTGATGAGCACCCTTTGGGTTCGGTCAGTCAGCCAGTTACAAATCCACTGAGTGGTAGCATAGTCAAGACCACATTTTACCGGCTTCTTTACAAGAATATCATGAGGCACCTTGTCAAATGCCTTGCTGAAATCAAGGTAGGCTACATCCACTGCGTTCCCTTCATCTACCAGGCTTGTAATTCTGTCAAAAATGGTCTTCAAAACCCAGTTAAAGCTAGTTTAATTAAGTCAGCCAAATGGGTGAACTTGGTTGAGGGATATCACCTTTTGCAAAGCCTGATGGTCCTATACACTCGCACCCCACTAGGGAATCCCCCAGGCCCCCAGGGGGCTCTGCCACCCACTTTGGGAACCGCTGCATTAAGGCATGGGGTGGGCAGGGCCAAACTGTCTGCACCCAGGAAAGACCATGAGTAGTGTACCAGTCTCATACCTGGGCGTCAGCACTCCACACCACCCAAGCCAACCCAACCGTCTGTCATGGCCATCTGTCAGTTGAGATTTGGCATGGCAGGTGGTTGGGCTAGATGACCCCTGGGGTCCCTTCCAAGGCTACAGTTCCATGAACCTCCAGCCACAAATTTCAATCAGGGACTCGTTCCTTTGCAGCAGGGGCACAGCCTCTCCCACAACAGGCCATCCCTTGGACATGAGAACCACCTCCTGGCTCCAGACTCCGTCTGCTGACTCCACTCCAGCTCATCGCTGCCTCTGGGCATTGACTCAAGGCCTGCACAACCTCCCCTGGTTCAGAGGGAGGAGCAGATACACACTGAGGACACCATGCCCCTCATCCCCAGATGATGGAGCCACCCAAGTTGGCAGCCGGGCAACAGACCACAGAGTTTTAGATGTACATACTCATTGGGTGAGCCCACTGTGATTAGGAGTGGGGGGGGAATGTCTCCCCACCCACATTCGTCAAGCCATGCACAACTTCTATTGTGTTGCTTCTTACCAGACTTTTCTCTAAACTCTCTGGATTCCTGCATTACATTCTATGATTCTAACAGCCCACCTTTCTTCATTGGGGAATTGCTCCACCCCCTAGAGCCTTTTGGTTGCATCCTGGATAGCTCACTTGGTAGAGCAGGAGACTCTTAATTCCAAGGTCACAGGTTCAATCCCCAAGTTGGGCAAAAGATTCCTGCATTGCAGGGGCTTGGACTAGATGACCGCCATGGTCCCTTCCAATTCTACAATTCTATGATCCTCATGGACATCCAATGAACCTGAATTTTGGAAGATTCAGGACACCTAAAAGGAGATGCTTTTTCATGCAGCACATAAACTATGGCACTCCCTCCCATAGGAGACAGTGATGGCCACCAACTTGGATGACTCTAAAAGATGATTCTACAAATTTATGGGGAGGAAAGAAGGCTCTGGCCATGCTTGGAGGCAGCCATCTTTCTGAACACCAGTTGCTGGACACCCCAGGAGAGGCGAGTTCTTCTTCTGCTTGGACTCTGCTTGCTGGTTTCCCACAGCAGGCAACTATTCAGCCACTGTGAGGTCAGGATGCTGGGGGTCAGGGTGGGGGTCAAGAGCAGGTCAGCAATAACTCACAGTGTCAGCAAAGTTAACCCTTTTTATTCCAAGAGGAGGCCAGGCCTAGTGAGCACCTCAACTCTTCCCCCCAATGAGGTGGTCTCCTCCTCCCCGAGTCCTTCCCAAGCAACTGGAAACTTTTTCACCCTGTCTCTGCTCCAGCCTCTGCTTCAGCCTCAGAATCTGAGCTGCTCTCTGCTCCAGCCTCTTCCTGCTCACTGAACTCTGTTGCCTCTCCAGCAGTTGACACCTCTTCCTCCCAGGCTGCCCCTCTTCTCCCTCTGACCTCTCATCATTGTCCCACCACCAGTCCTCTAGTTCTGTGCTTTCTTCCCCTGGGGGCTCCCCAGCTGGTGCCTCCCACCACTCCTGGGCTCTGGCCAGATGACCCTGGGCTCATGCAGGAGGGCTCTTCTTACATTTATCATTTCTGCGAAAGGGCTCTGGAGAGCAGCTGCCCCTCCCCACTGGCCGCATCTGCTTTGCGCCATGAGAGACCATCCCCAAGGGTGGGAGGGGGAGGCTGGCTCCCCTCCTTCCTGGGCCAAACTTTGTCCAGCTGTTGGGTGTGCCTGTGTGTGAGAGAGCCGGGATGGAGGCAGCCAGCTCCTAGGAAGGAGCCAGAGAGTTGTGAAAGAGCCTGCAAGGGCAAGGAGCCAGAGTCCCACCTCTGGAGGTGCTGGGGGAGAGAGAGATGAGCCCTGCACATTGGGGGGGGGGGGGTGAGTGAGTGGGGGGGTGTTGAGGCAGAGCAAGCAGGCCATCTCCACAGCTGACAGTCAGACTTTGCTTGCCAGGTATAATTTGCTGCCAAAGGTGGTTGTTTTGGGGGTGATGTTTGTTTGTGCAAGAGAGAGGGGAGGGGAGAGGGGGTGGGGGTAAAGGAGAGGCCTGGGACAGGCAATGGGTGGGGGTGGCCTTGCCTCTTGAGCTCAGGCCCAGCTGCCTGAGGGGGGAGGCCAAGAGGGTGCCCCCTCCAGACTGAGATGGAGTCAGACCCCTGGCGTCCATCCCACTTGCCCTGACTGGCAACAGCAGCTCCTCGGGGTTTATGAGGCCACAGGGGCGGGTGCTGCTCTTGCACCCAGGTCCTGCCTGTGGACCCCCCACTGAGGCACCTGGGTGGCAGCTGGACTCAAGGGGCCACGGCCATGATGCAGCTGCAGGCTCTTCTGACTTGCTGTGTTAACCCTGACCTGAGATGGGGGGGGGCGGTGTTGGACTTGAGGCCTCCTGTTGCAAGGCGGAAGCTCAACCTCTTCCCTCGGAGTGGGTCTCCCTCTGTGTGTCCCTCCCCAGAGCAGGCCCTATAGAGGGGAAAGAAAGACAGTTACAGGATCGTAGTGTTGGAAGGGGTACCCAAGGGTCCTCTAGTCTGACCCCTCCGCCATGCAGGAATCTTCTGCCTCTGGGGTGGGGACACTTTTGCCCCTCACCTTGCAGGCCATGGAGCCTCCAAACATTTAGGGCCCAAAGAGCAGCTGATAGAATCATAGAAGGGACCCCGAGGGTCACGTGTCCATCCCCCTGCAATCCAGGAATCTTTTGGCCCCACGTGGGGCTGGAACCCATGACCATGAGATTAAAAATCCTAAAATATCCTGGGGGGAGGTCAGGGAGGGGGCGTCTGGGTTGCTGAAGGTGGAGGAGGAGGAGGAGGCACTGAGCCGGGAAGAAAGCGAACCCACGCACCGCAGCATTTAGCCCCGAAATCCAGCAAAAGAGAGAGAGACTCCAGAGCATGTGCAGAGTGCGCTTCCTGCCCCCTGAGGACCCGCAGGAGACTGGCTCTGGGAGCAGCGTGCCCAAGGAAGGGGAGGGGACGCGGGACGAGCCTCTTGCAGGGCGCGGGACGGCGGCGGCGCTTCGCTGCTCTTTTCGAAGCGGCGGGGGAGAATCGTGCGCAGCTCCGTCTCCCCCCGCCATTCGGCCGCCGGCCGGGGAGAGGGGCCGGAGAGGGGCTGGGGCGGCGCAGACAAAAGACGGCCGGCGGGGCGGCGGCGGGGGAGGGGGAGGGGAGAGAAAAGTTGGGAAGGCAGAAGGGGGCGGAGAGAAGGAGGGAAGAAAAAAGTTCGGGAGGAGAAAGAGGAGAAGGACAACGCAGGGAGGGAAGGAGAGAGGTGGCGGAGCTCCGCCAAGCCAGTCTGCCCCCCACCCTCGGAACGAGGGGTTCCCCCGAAGAGGCTCGGATCAGGCTCTCTTCTCCCCAGCCCCCCAGGATGGAATTGAGGCGCCCGGGCAGCCGCGGGGGGCGGCTCTGAGCGACACCCCCAAACACACACTGCCCTTCCCAGGTGAGGCGGAGGCAGCTGCGCTTCGGGAGGGGGTGGATGGGTCTGATTCATTGCAGGGGAGGGCAAGGCGGAGGAAGGAGGGAGCCCCCCCCCCCACGCATCTCCGGTGGTTGGAACTCCCCTCCCGGCTGGTTGCCCTCCCCGCAATAATCTCATGCATTTTCAGCTAGTCTGCATGGACAGATGATCCCCACACCGGAAAAAAAGTCCGGGGCAGCAGAAGCAAAGCCGGAGCTGGGGGGGGGGCTGGGGAGCAGAGCCAGACCCAGGGGCAGGGGCAGTTTAAAGCGCTCTGCACGTGCCCAGAAGCCGCTGTGTTTCGCCTTCTTCCGGAGGGAAGCCTCGGCTCGGAGTTACTGGTGGAAGCGGACGGGCGGGGCGCCAGGCCCCCGGGCAGGGCGTGTGTCCCCGGGACAGCTGGCCGGCAGCTGCTCCGCTGCGGGTGCCAAGGGAGCCACGTGGGGGAAGCCGGCCCTCGCCCCCGGGGCGCTCCGAGAGGGGTTGCGGGGGGAGAGGGCGGACGCACGGCGAGGAGGCGACAGCGCAGAGTCACACAACTGTGGCACTGGGCGGGACCCCCAAGGGTCTTCTCCGGCAGCACAGGAGTCACCGCTAAGGCATCCCTGAACGCGGGCCAATCGACCTCTGCTCAAAAACCACCCGAGAAGGCGAGTCCGCAACCTCCAGAGGGATCTTACCATCAGATGTTGAGTCGGAATCTCCTTTCTTGTCGTTTGAATCCGTTAGTTTGGGTCCTCCCCTCCGGAGCAGGAGAAAAACAAGCTTGCTGCCTCTTCCATGTGGCAGCCCTTGGGATATTTGAAGATGGCTATCTCGTATCTCCTCTCAGTCTCCTCTTCTCCAGGCTAAACATCCCCAGCTCCCTCAAGCCTTCCTCACTCTGCTCGGTTTCTAGATCTCCTGGACATTTTATCAGTCTCCCCACAAGCAGACCTTCCTTTACCCCACTGGAGACCGGGGCAGGGGGCAGACAATTGCTCCAGACAGGGCTGGTTTGGGGAGCCCTGGAAGGACTGAAGACATTCAGAAGAACCTCAGAAGAGCCTTTCAGGAAACCTGCAAACAGGATCTGGGCCAAACCATCCTGGCTACTAGCCCTCCATAGCCCTCTCTTGCAAAGCCAAGCAGGTCCTGGCTATTGTTTCCTCCTGCAGGAGGGAGTTCCCCAGTTTAACTAAGAAGGGTTTTCTCTTGTCTTCCCTGAATCTTCCCACATGGGGCTTCGCTGGCTGCCCACCAGGGAGGAAACTGCTTCTCTGCCCGTTCTCTCCATGCCAGGGCCCTCAAAGACACTCCTGGAACTGGCTCTCTCGGGTGCCACAAGGACTAAGGAGCAGCCTTGGGAGGGGAGGGTGGAGGATGCGATCCCCTCCCACTTTCCTTGCAGCAGCAGGGCCCATTGGGCTGTCCCAGTCCCGACCCACAGAGGCCCCTTCCTCCCCTGGCGCCGCCTAAGCCTCCTCCGCAGGGCTGCTGCCATCTGCCAGGCTGCTCCAGGCCTTCTAATCCTCCTAGTCCTTAATGAGGAGTGGCAGGCGGAAGGCAAAGGGCAAGCGCCAAAGAGGAGGCGGCAGCAGCAGCAATGGGGTGGCTGAGGGGCCGGGAGGCTCTCCCAGGCGTCCTTCCCCAGGGACATGGAGCCCCTGACCCAGTGGAGCCTCTCCTGCCCAGTGGAATGCTAGCCTACCCATCTACCTGGTTTGTCTGGGGCCGGGAGGTTTGCTCTTTTGAGGGAGGGGGCTTCCTTCATGCCACAAGCACAGCCTGGCTGCTTCCTCATCCTTCCAGGCACCGCAGCAGCAGCTGGGTTGGGCGCTGGGTTGGGCCGAGATGTGTGCAGAGTGAGAGGGAAGGCCAGGTGTGGGGCGGGGAGGGCCAGTGTTGGCGCTGGCCAGGTGTCGCTCCGGCACACCCCAGAGATGGCTGCCTCTTCTTCTGTGCTGGGCTCCAGGATGCAACTGTGGGGAGTGTGACACGGGTGTGGCGTGAGGAAGGCCAGAAGGAGCTCTGGGGAGGAGCCCCATGACCATCCTCTGACTGCCCCCCACAGGCCAGGCACCTCCAGGAACTGAGCGCAGAATCTGCCTCTTGCAGCCCTGGATGGTCCTCAGGCGAGCTCTCCCAGTGGGTGAGGCTGAGCAGAGGTTGTTGCCCATGCCTGGGAGGGATGGAGCAAGCTTCTTTTCCACTGCTCTGAACCAATGGATTTGTAGCATGATAGAGTTGGAAGGGATCCTGAGGGTCATCTAGTCCAACCCTCTGCACTGCAGGATTCAGATGACAAGGAAGGAACGGACAAATGGCAGAGGAACAAGCTCCCTCAGAAGGTGGTGGACTCTCCTTCCTTGGGGTTTTTTTTTTTTAAAGCAGAGACCACCTGCTTGAGCTGAGATTCCTGCATTGCAGAGGGCTGGACTGGATGACCCCCAGGGGTCCCTTTCAGCTCTCCAGTTCTATGAACTTGAGACAAATGAGGGGCATGATTTGTGGGTCTGTTTTCTTCCATTTACAAACCTCCTCCTCCCCTCCAGGGTTGTGGCTTCCTGGCCTGCCCCTCTCTCGCCCTGCCACCCAGAGGCCAGAGGACCATGAGGGTCCTCTATGGGCACTGCTGCCGCTTCCAGGTGCTGTGGGCCGCCCTGGCTGTCTCCATGACCATCGGCTTCACCATCCAGCTCTTCGGGGTCTCCTTTCAGAAGAGGTAACTGTTCCACCTTCCTGGCCTTCAGCACCACCCAATGCTCAGCAGTGCCCCCGGTGGCCACTCAAGGCAATGCCATAGAATCCTAGAATTGGAAAGTCAGGCAGGACACCCAGAGGTCATCCAGCCCAACCCCCTGTGACACCGAGGCTGGCCAGTGAGGGCTTCTCTGATCTCCTCTTCCTCCTCCAGGGCTTCCTTGTCCCAGCTGCCCCCGACCCCCTGGGCTCCCCCTCTGCCCAAAGCGGGGCAGGAGGAGGCAGAGGGGCGGCCAGGACCCCGCTGCCAGCCGAGACGCCACCTGGTCTTCCTGAAGAGCCACAAGACGGGCAGCAGCACCATCATCAACCTCCTGCACCGCTTTGGGGACGCCCGGGGTCTGCGCTTTGCCCTCCCCACCCGCTACCAGTTCAGCTACCCTAACCTCTTCCAGGCACGGCGGGTCAAAGGGTGGCATCCCGGAGGGCGCCCCTTCGACATCCTCTGCCACCACATGCGCTTCAACTTGCCTGAGGTGAGACTAGGTGGGGCTCAAAGGGTGGGGCTGGGGGCATGTGGGGGCATGTGGAACACTCTGTCCCAAGAGACTAGGGCCCTGCGGGACTTGACATCTTTCCACAGGGCCTGCAAGATGGAGCTGTTCCACCAGGCCTTTGGCCAAGGCACAGTCTGATCCTCTCTCTCCTTTGGTAATCCTCATAGAACTCTAGCCCAATGGTTGCCATTAAGGTAATTTGATTCTGAATTGATTTTGGAACGTATTTTAATTAATTGACTGTGTGATTTTATGTACACTGTGCTATTTTTACTTTTTGTTAGCTGCTGTGAGCCCAGCTTTGGCCAGGGAGGGCGGGATACTATTATTATTATTATTATTATTATTATTATTATTATTATTATTATCATTTGGAGGCTGGTGTCTGAACCAGTGCCTCTGTAATGCACCCTCTCAAACTCGTGGGAGTACTATGACTTCCCTTGATCAGGACACTAGTCTTCTGCTGGTACAGCATTGGCTTATTTCTTTTCTAGATCTTTTCACATACACAGTCATACCTTGGAAGTACGAACAGAATCCTTTCCAGAAGTCTGTTCTCCTTCCAAAACATTCAGAAACCAAGCGCAGCTTCCGATGGGCTGCAGGAAGCTCCTCCATCAGACATTCAGGTTCCAAAAAACGTTTGCAAACCAGAACACTCACTTCCGGGTTTGCAGCATTCATGAGCAAAAATGTTCAACTTACAAGGCGTTCGGGATCCATGTGTTAGTTTCTGTTTGCCACTGAGCAGCTGCTTAGAGTCACAGGACTCTGCTTACATTCCAGAGACCTTCCAGACTGTTGGAAGTCTCACGGGAGAAGGGAGACGGATGTGACGTACTGGTTTCTCTGTTCCTTTGTTCCTTTCTTTCAGTTGCTCTTATAGAGAGAGAGTTGCTCTCATAGAGAGAGGATGTACCGTATTTTTCGCCCTATAGGACGCACCGGCCCATAGGACGCACCGGCCCATAGGACGCACCTAGTTTTTTGGGGGGGAAATCAAGGGGGGGAAATTTATTTTCCCCCCCCCAGGTTTACGCAGCCATCCCCAAGCTAGAAGAGGGAGACGGAGCGCTCCGTCTCCCTCTTCTGCCTTTAGGGACAGCCTCTCTAGCCTCCGTGGGGCAGCGGCTTGCCCCGCTGTCCCCCGAGCTTATGGGGCTGGCGATGGGGAGAAGCAAGCTTGCTTCCCCCCCCTCCCGCCAGCCTCCAGATCAGGTCGGGGAATAGCGGGGTGGCGGCGCTCTGCCTCCCCGCTATCCCCCAAGCTTGTGGGGCTGCCGGGGGGGAAGAAGCAAGCTTGCTTCTCCCCCCCCCGCCAGCCTCCAGATCAGGTCGGGGAATAGCGGGGTGGCGGCGCTCTGCCTCCCCGCTGTCCCCCGAGCTTGTGGGCTGCAGGCTGCTGCCCGCAAGCCTTGCGAGCCCGCAGGACCTCCAGCCGGGCTTGCAAGGCTTGCGTATAGCTTCCTGAAGCCTGGAGAGCGAGAGGGGTCGGTGCGCACCAACCCCTCTCACTCTCCAGGCTTCAGCGAAAGCCTGCATTCGCCCCATAGGACGCACACACATTTCCCCTTCATTTTTGGAGGGGGAAAAGTGCGTCCTATAGGGCGAAAAATACGGTATATTTCTTTGCTGTCTGCATAGTAAGAAATAAAGCATAGCGATGTAGCCATAAATCTCATCACTTCCGTGTGCTGCTTTGATTCTCTGCTGAATCGGAACGTGCCTGGAAGCCTCATCAAAGGCTCAGGTCGTTAATTATTCGTCAGAGGGCGATTCCGAAGGACTGTGCTGGAAGATGAGCTTTATCAGCTTGGCCGAGTGGAGCTTCCAACACCAAGGTACAACTGTAGTGGTACCTCAGTTTAAGAACAGTCCAGTTTAAGAATAATTTGGTTTACAAACTCTGCAAAACTGGAAACAGTGTATTGGTTTGAGAACTTTACCTCTGTATAAGAATGGAATCCGAATGGTGGAAGGGCACCGGCAGCGGGAGGCCTCATTAGAGAAAGCACACCTCGGTTTAAGAATTGTTTTGGTTGAAGAATGGACTTCCGGAACGGATTAAGTTCGTAAACCGAGGGACCACTATATTGGTAAATGCAGCTTGGTTTTCTACCCAAGTGCAAAACTGGACATTTCATAGACTCATAGAACTGCAGACATGTGTCTCTGAGCAAGTGCCGAGAGCCTGTCTGTTGCCAAAGGGCAAATTGGGCCTCAGACACACATGAGGCTGGGGGATTTGGAGGACCAGACTCTGCCCCACATGCTCCCTCCAACATGTCTCCTTCTCCTTCCTCAGGTCCAGAAAGTCATGCCCCCGGACAGCTTCTACTTCTCCATTGTGAGGCACCCCGTCTCCCTGGCCGAGTCAGCCTTCTCCTACTACCGGAGCGTTGTCCCTGCCTTCCGCCGTGCCGGCACGTTGCCCCAGTTCCTGGCCTCGCCACAGCGCTTCTACCGCCCCAGCGAGAGGGGTAACCACTACGCCCGCAACCTGCTGTGGTTCGACTTTGGCCTGGACCCACCAGCAGCCCCTGGTCTGGCCCCAATCCAGGCTGCCCTGGCCACGCTGGAGCGCACCTTCCACCTGGTCCTGCTGACGGATCACATGGACGAGTCGCTGGTGCTCCTGCGCGACGCTCTCTGCTGGGGAGAGGAGGACATGCTGGCCTTCCGCCACAACTTCCGCAGCCCTGAGTCCGTCCGCCCACTGACGCCCGCAGAGGCTGCCCGACTCCAGGCCTGGAACAACCTGGACTGGCACCTCTACACTCACTTTAACCGCAGCTTCTGGGAGCGTGCAGAGCGCTTTGGCCGTGCGCGCCTGGCCCGGGAGGTGGATGCCCTGCGGAAGCGGCGGGCGGAGCGGATGCAGCAGTGCCTGCGGGGAGGGGGCCCTCTGGAGGCGGGGCAGATTGCGGACGAGCGCATCCGCCCCTTCCAGTTTGGGCAGGCCCCCATCCTGGGCTATGTCCTGAGGCCCAGCCTGGACCCCGAATGGCAGGCGCTGTGCCAGCGCATGGTGACCCCCGAGCTCCAGTACAAGGACCTTCTGGATGCCAAACAGTTTCCTCCACCCCCCCAGGGCAACGGCTCTCAGACCGGCGGGGTGAGGTAGCAGTGGCAAGCGGAAGGGGGTGCAAAAAGACCAACTGGCCCCCAACAGGCTTGGCATGGGCTGTGTGCTGAAGGCACAGAGGACCTGAGGTGCCACGAAAAATCTCATTCTTCCCACATTTCTGGGATTCCCAGAAGAAGCTCCCTCTGGATGCTGGGAGATTCACGTGGAAGGAAGGGCTTCTTTGTAGAACTGTAGAGTTGGAAGTGACCCTAAGGGTCATCCAGTCCAACCCCTGCAATGCAGGAATCACCACTAAAGCATCCGTGGCAGATGACCATCCGACCTCTATGTAGAAACCGCCAAAGGAGAGGAGGGACTTTATGCAGCCCATCAATGGCATAAAATAAAATAAAACAATTCCTTCCAGTAGCACCTTAGAGACCAACTAAGTTAGTTATTGGTATGAGCTTTCATGTGCATGCACACTTCTTCAGATACGAAAGCTCATACCAATAGCTAACTTAGTTGGTCTCTAAGGTGCTACTGGAAGGAATTGTTTTATTATTTTATTTTATTAATTTTGTTTTGTTTCGACTACGGCAGACCAACGCGGCTACCTACCTGTAACTACATCAATGGCATAGCATGGGTTGCCAGCGCCCAGGGCAAGGCAAGTATTTTGCACCTGGGGCAGTTGCCCCGGTAGCACCCCCACATGCTATGCCACTACAGCCCATAGTTAAATGTGGCCACTGCTGGGTCATCAGCTTCAAGAGGCCTTCCTGTCAGTGAGGACGGAATCAAAAGTGGACCCGACAATGTCTTTTCAGGCACAACTCAAGAGCAGCCACTGGATCCTGCCGTGTGACTCAGCTCAGCATCCTCAGGCAGGCCTGACTTTGCACAAGGAAGTGGGGTCCTGCATCGGGGGGGGGGGACCCCCACACCTCTTGACCTGGGACTCAGCCACAGTGGGCCTGAGTGACTCTGCAGGGGCAGCCTGCTGGCATGGGAGCCTCAAAGTCCCGGGTTCATTTTGTTGCATTGGCCGCAGACTCGTGATGGGGAAGGAGATGGGGTCTCTCTCTCCCCCCCCCCACCCACAATCTGCAATGGAAGACTAATGGTACTGCCCCACCCACCTTGTAGGGCCGTCGTGTGGAGCACTGAAGCAACTCATGTGAAGGGCTTTAAACACTTGTGGGGTGTGTGGAGGGAAGCAGCTTAAATTGGTGCTGGTTAGAGGGCAGAGCCAGGCATGCTCTGGCCATGGGGGGGGGCTCTTTGGCTGGGGGCTGAGGCTGGTCCTGCAGGTGGGGTGGGGGAGGGCAGAAGTGTTCATAGGCCCCAGCATGCCCCAAGGGGCTGGTGACAGATGCCCACCTGGTCCTATATGCCAAGGCGGGAGTGCCAACCTGGCCCTATGGCCATGGGTGCCCAGGGCCATGGGTGCCATGCAGCATGCAGGGCCCTGGCACCGAAATTTGTGGGTGCCCAGCCCCTTCGTGGGGAATTTTGTGGGTGCTTGGGCACCCAGGCCCCAGGGAGTTGGCACCTATGTCCCAAGACATCCCTTGGAGGCGAGAGGCTGCCCATCAGCAGGTATTCTTTTGGCCTTTTAGGCTCCAGCTGCCATCAGCCCCAGCCTTCATCCAGGCAGTGACCTCAAGACACGTTGGACTACAGCTCCCATGATGAGAGTTATAGTTCAAAATGTCTGGAAGGCACCAGATTGGCCAAGGCTGCTCCCTTCTCTCCATAGCCAAGGAGGCCACATACAAAGAGCTGCTAGCTGGGCTGGAGGGAGAGGAAGACCCCCAACCCAACCTCCCCTCCCCCACCCAAGCCACCATTGATCAGTTTCGATTGGGGACTGTGGAGCTTCTTCCCACCAGCGGTGGGCGCTGTTGGGCTCTTATGACACGGCTGGGTCCACAGATCCCACCACAAGGCAGTTTAGGGCTTGGTGTTTTTTGTTTTCTTTTTCAATGATGTTACTCTTAACCATTTTTTTTAAAAGGGGGAAATCCTTTTTTGTTTCTTTTTGGTCCTTTTTCAATAGATTGAAATGCTATTGGCCACTTGGTGTGCTCCATGTTTCATCTTCTTTCCGTCCTTCCTGCCTGCATTTCTGGAGTTGCTCACCAGTGACCTGGAGTTTGTTTGCTTATTATTACTTACTGCATCTGTATTCCTAGAATCAGAGTTGGAAGGGACCCCAAGGGTCATCTAGCCCCACCCTTTGCAATGCAGGAATCTCATCTCAAGGCATCCCTGACAGGTGGCCACTCCAAGGAGCCCAAGGGGATGAACAACCCCCCTGTGAGGGAGTCTAGGCCGAAAGGCAGGGACACCCAGGGAGCATCATGGCTAGGCTTGCCCATTCCTGACAGGTCCTGGTTTCCAGGTGCAAAAATGGTGTCGGGGGGAATTTTGCTGAATTGGCAAAATGTCAGGGAAAACACAGGTGTGTGGCAATGTGATGGTAAAAGCAGCAGAAGCTCTAAAAGTTAAATCCAGACAAATGGGACTATGGGGTGCGGTGCTCATCTCACTTCAGGCCGAAGGACGAGACTTGTTGTTGTTTAGTCGTTTAGTCGTGTCCGACTCTTCGTGACCCCATGGACCAGAGCGCGCCAGGCACTTCTGTCTTCCACTGCCTCCCGCAGTTTGATCAAACTCATGCTGGTAGCTTCAAGAACACCATCCAACCATCTCGTCCTCTGTCGTCCCCTTCTCCTTGTGCCCTCCATCTTTCCCAACATCAGGGTCTTTTCCAGGGAGTCTTCTCTTCTCATGAGGCGGCCAAAGTATTGGAGCCTCAGCTTCACGATCTGTCCTTCCAGTGAGCGGGACGAGACTGGCACTGGTCTAAACCACTGAGCCTCTAGGGCTTGCCGATCGGAAGGTCCGGAAAGTCCGCAGTTCAAATCCACATGACAGGGTGAGCTCCCGTCGCTTTGTCCCAGCAGCTCATGCACTGTATGTATTGCATCAGGAGCGCATTTGCACACTTAAAGCCAGTGGGGCACCTGCGCCGGGTCCTTGAGATGCCCGACTGGGCCACAGCAGCACTTGCCTTAGTTGCCTCAGACACGTCAGCTGCAGCCAGACTGCTGACCAGGGCTGGTTACTGGGTTGCCACAGTCCCAATGGCCACCGGTCTACAGTTTTTCCAGGCACAAGTCAAAGTGCTGCTTTTGACCTAAATAGCCCTACACAGCTGAGGAGCAGGCTGTCTCAAAGACCCTATTCCCCATAGGAACCTGCCCTGGTTTTGAGATCTTCCAGGAAGACCCTTTTCCTGCTCCTGCCACCCTCAAGGTACCTTGGTGGGGACGTGGCAGGTGGCTTTGTCGTGGTGGCTGCTGCCAGACAACTTTGGGACTCTCTCCCTGGAGAAGCCAGACTGGCTCCCTCCTTGTCCTTCTGCTGGCAGGTAAAGACCTTGTTCCAACAGGCTTTGGGGAAATGGCTGCTTTTAATGAAACAGATGGTGCTATGCAGTTCTCATTGAGATTGTATGTTGTTAATAAACGTGTGTTTGTGTGTGGTACAGACATGCACAGACACGCACAGGATAAGTTTATTCTGATTTTAGAAGACATCCGCAGAAGCCCTTTGACCTCTAATTGAGGATGACAAAGTGTCCATTCCTTTGACTTTTTGTGGCTGCTCCGCACACTCATATATTTTCATTCCCTCACAAGTGGATGTGCATCTATGAATCTGTAAGCAACCCTAGAAAGATGCAGAGCGTTAAAATGCAGAACAGCTCAGGTCATGAGAGCAGCAGAGCTTGAATGTAGGAGAGATGAAGTTTCCCTGCAAAGGCCTGGGACTATCCAAAAGGTCTTTGGTGGATCCTGGAAAGGTGCCGGGTGGAGCACCCTGGGAAGAGCATCCCACAATTTGGGTGGGGGTCACCCCCAGAATGCCAACCCCACATGAGTGAGGGCTGGAAAAGGGCACCTGAGGAAGCCCCATTGGACTAGGGCAATAGGAGAAGAGCCCTACAACACCTGGATGCGACCACCAGGATGCATTGAATCAGGCATCCTGTGACCAGGCAGAGGGAAGCCCACCAGCAGGCCATGAGTGCGAAAGCTGCCTCCAGGAAGGTGTCTGGCCAGCTCAAGTCAGGAAGAGCCTCTAGGCTCACTATTGCACCCCCAGGATCTCTGCCTCTGAAAGCTGCCGCTCTGGGACCCTCTGCAACGCCCCGCTCAAATCCTGGAGTTTTTATGCGGCAAATATTCTGGCATTCTGCCCCATCCCCCACCCCGCAGATGACCCTCCAGGGGGCAGAAGGGGTCCAGGAGCCTATACGAAGCGGAAGGAGGCATGGACCGCCCGCTAGGAATCCACCGCGAATGCGAGATCTCCTTTATTGCCTTTATTGTCGTTGTTTTGACCTTCACGATCTTATCAACCGCAGAGGAACGCAATTATTAATACCTGCGTGGATGCGACGTTGAGGCCAAATGCGTCTCTCCATTAAAATGCACCAGAAGAATACAGGAATGAGCTACGGTCGCAAAAAAGGGGATGTTGCAGAGACACCCGGGGCCGCGCTCGCCCACCCGCCTCCGGGGAGTCCCTGGCACCTGCTCAGAGACTCCAGCTCCGAGGCCGAGGGTCCCTGGAGGGAGCAGCATTGTCGTGGGGGAGGGGCCGACAGAGCCAACGAGGAGGAGGAGGGGTGCGCATCCCCTCTCCCCCCTCCCTCCTCCTCCTTCCTCTTTCTTTCATTCTCTCCCTTCCTCCTTCCTTCTTTCCTGGCTCGCTCCGCCCCGCCGCGCCGCACAGCCCGGCCTGGCCCGGCCTCCCCCCGCCCCCCCACGCCGCACCGGCGCCTCCCTCCCTCCCTCTCTCGCTCTTCCTTCTTGATCTTTGCCCCCCCCCCTCCGCGCACCGCCGGGAATCTGCCCCCTTTTCCTCATCTCTGCTCCGCATCTCTTCCACCTCCCTCGGAGGCGGATCCCCCCGCCCCTCCGAGCGTAACCCCCCTCCCTTCCTTCTCTCTCCCTCCCTCCCTCTTGCTTGCTGATCTCTCCCCCACCCCCCCGCCGCCGGGAATCCGCCCCCCTCCCCGCATCTGTGGGGCTCCCTCTCCTCCGCCCCCCTCGGATGTGGACCCCCCCCCGCTCCTCCGAGAGTGAAGCACACCCCCCGCACCTGCTATGGAGTCCCAGTGCGACTACTTCATGTATTTCCCGGCCGTGCCCTTCCCGGCGCGGGAGGTGCTGCTGGGCGAGCCCGGGCGCTACCGGGCGCTGCCGCGGCGCAACCACCTTTACCTGGGCGAGACGGTCCGCTTCCTGCTGGTGCTTCGCTGCCGGCCGGGGGGCGTCGGTGGGGAGGGTGGCGGGAGGGCGCCCTGGGGGGAGCTGGCCGGGTCCCTCTCTGCCCTGGCCAGCGTTAGCCCCGGGGCCAGCCTGGGCGGCGAGGCGACGCTGGGCGGAGAGCCCGAGCCGACCCGCGAAGACGACGAGGACACGGCCCCCGGGAGCCTCTTCCGCGACTGCCGGGCGCTGCTGACCCACGGCCAGGGGACCCCCGGGAGACCCGCCGCAGGAGTAAGGCCCGGAGCGGACGCGGGTGGCGGGGCGGTGAGGCGGAGTGCCTTGCGGGAGGGAGGAATCTGGATCCGGCCCGCTGACGCTTCCCTCCCGGCCCGCGCAGGTGCCCATGGAAGAGCCCATCGTGTCCACGGACGAGGTCATCTTCCCCCTGACCATCTGCCTGGACAAGCTGCCCCCCACCACCGTCAAGGCCAAGGTGAGACCCGGGCAGGTACGATGGGGTGGGAAAGGGAGGGGAGGAGGCTCACCTGGGGGGACACCCTACCCCCACCCCACGAAACACCCACGGATCGTTTTTGCGCCCCCAGATCGTGGTGACGGTTTGGAAGCGGGACCAGGAGAAGGCGGAGGTGCAGGAGCGCGGCTACCTCAGCATCCTGCAGGATCGGGCCCCCTCGCAGACATTCCGGGAAGAGCAGGGGGCTTTCAAGGCACAAGGTGAGCGCTCAAGACCCAGAACCCACTCCCCCCAGCACCTCTGAATTGAGAGGAGCGTGGGGGTCTCCTCCAAACACCCCCTCTTTCCACCTGCCTACCAAAAAAGTAGCTGCATGGGGCGGGTGTCACCCTCTGACCTTTGACCCCCTCCCTGCAGTGAGCACCATGCTGACCGTCCTGCCCCCTCCGGAGCTGAAGTGCCAACCCCTGAACGTGTCGGGGAAACACCTGACAGTACTAAAAGGTGCGTGGATGGCTGGAGCAGGGGGGAGAGCCAACATGGGGGCATTTGGGGGGAATGTGGGGAGCAGCTGGGGCAGGGGCATGATGGGGGCAGGGGGCCTCTCCATCTTCCAGGGACCTGCCAATGGCCATGCTCTGCCCTTTCCTGTGGGTGGTGCCCCCCCATATGTGTAAGCAGGGCTGGGGGACCGACATTCTCTCCCCCACCAACTGGAGGGTCTCTAAGTGAAGGCTGGGGGCAGAAGAACCTCAGGAGAGCTGAGCACCTGCAGGCTCAGGCGCAAGGTCCGGCCCTCCACCTGGAGTCCAGCCTCCTTTTCTCACACTGGACCAACCAGGCGTCTAATATGGGAGAGAGTGAAAGGAGGGCCCCATTCTAGGTTCCTCCTCACAAGATCATAATGAGAGCCGTGCTGAATCAGGTCCAGGGGGGCTCACCTAGGCCAGCACCCTGTCCTCACAGTGGCCAAATGCCCCTTGGAACCAGGAAATCCAGATAGACTGTCTCTGGACCTGCCTGGAGGTTCCATTGGATCATCGGAAGAAGCTGCTTGATCAAGCACACAGGTGTCCTGGAAAGTCCAGCTGATCACGGTCTCTCTCTCCACCCCCAACATTCCTGCTGTGATGATGGGGGCCGCCAGGCTGATGATCCAGGGACTCCCTTGGAGGAGTTGAACTCCTGATTAGAAGCCACCAGTAGCCCTCTCCTCCTCCATGAATGTGTCCAGTCCTCGTCTAAAGCCATCCAGGTGGGCGGCCATTGCTGCCTCCTGTTCCATAGATTAATGATGCACGCCATCCTTTGCAAGAGCACCTGTCTCTTTGGATCCCAGGACCTTTCCCCTGCCTTTAATCTTTTGCACACCCACCCTCTTTTCCCCCACCTCCAGTTTTGAACGCAGCCTCGCAGGAGGAGCTCTCTGTGTGGGATGTGCGGATCCTGCCCAATTTCAACACCAGTTACCTTCCTATGATGCCAGATGGGTCCGTCTTGCTCGTTGATGATGTCTGGTAAGAGAACAGTTTGTGGGTGGGCAGTCAGCTGGAGCTGGTGACCCCCCAATCTGCCATTGTGGCCTGGAAAGGCCTCCACTTCATTCTGGGGCTTTTGACCTTTGGTCCCCACCCTGCACTCAGAGTGTCTTCGACTGGCCAGCTAAGACAGCTGAGGTTGCTAATGGGTCTCAAACCCCCAGAGAGTTAGAGGCTTCCCCTGTGTGTGGTCAGGCTCTGGTGGATTGAGCAGATGGGATCAAGAAGACAGTTTCTGCTCCTGCTGTGGATGAAGAAAGTGAGGGGCAGGTGGGGCTTGTCCGTCTGGGAAGGGAGCCCCTCTAAGGGAAGGAAAATGCTGATCCTAAACCTCTGCTGCCTTGCAGGATATTTGAGGGGGGAGAAATGGCTAAGGAGTAAACCCTGTGCAAATCCAGAGTCCCTAAGATGCCTGGATGGCGCCTTGCACTGGCGGAGGAAAGGGGTGCAGGGGGAGCGCACCGACCCTGGCGGCACGATCCCCGTGGAGTGCCATCGTGGCTGCCCCTCCCTCCACGCGCTGGGTGCCACGCCCCCGCAGGCAGCACACCACATCCCTGGGACGCGCGCCATGCCCCTGCAGGCAGCGTTCCCCACCCCCAGGACCACTGGTGCTTTGTAGGCCTCCTTCTGGCAACTCCTGCAGCCCAGCTGGTGGCAAACATCTTGCTCTGCTTTCCTTTGGAGCCCATCAGCCAGGCCAAGAAGGGGGTCTTGTCATCCGGGAAGCCCAGGACCTCCAGACACACAGCCTTGGGGAGGTCACTTCAGTGCTGCTGACGCAGCTTACTCAGGATTGCAGGGGGTTGGGCTGGATGACCCTTGGGGACCCCTCCAAATTCTTCAATCCTACGATTCTACAGGGACGGGGCAGTCGGAGGGATGGAGGCAGGAGTCTTGGGAGGTGGGGGCCTCTTTCCTCCCCGTTTACCCCTCTTTCTCCCCCTTTCTCTCCAGCCACCAGTCGGGTGAGGTGTCCATGGCCTCCTTCTCCCGGGTGCCCTCGGCCACAGCCTCCTGCCCCTGCTCCCTGCGGGCCCTGGAGGAGCAGAACTTCCTCTTCCAGCTGCAGGCCCCCGAGCAACCCCCGCCAGACAGCGCCAAGGAGGTGAGGGTCTGCCCACCCGGCGGGGACCCACCCCACTGGCACCCGGTGGAGGGGGGATCAGGGGGGTCCGCCTTGCTGCCATGATTGCTGCCACCTCCTCAAGGCAGACACTGGGGGTGGGGCTAGAGAGGGGCTTCTCCAAGAAGCACTTCACATTTCAGAGCAGGATAGGATAGTCTTGTATGAAGAAAATAAGGGGTTCTTTGGTCCAGTGGTACCTTCTTATTAAGTTTCGTAGGCATTACACAAGCAATATGTTTACTGATGCCTTATCTATTCAGCTCTCCTCTCCACAAGTTCTGGTGTTGGGGGTGGAATAAAAGTATCTTCTGTCTCATTTATAAAGGAAAAGAAAGGAAGCAAAGTTGGCCGAAAGCAGGTCTCCCTGCAGGCGTTCTGATACAGCCCCGTTCCAAATATTATTTAGCCAGACTTCAAGGGGGAATTCCATAAATTGTTACCAATATCAGGCTAGTGTTAACTGCACTGCTGATTTTAAAAAATAATCAATTTCTGCATTGACAGTTACTGTTTAAATTTGAGCCTAATGATAACAAGGCAAGACCTGAATTGGAAAACATTTATTTATTTATTTGCAGAATATAGATAGGTATATTTTCAAAACGAGAGCAAGAGTAAGGCTTCTTTGTGTTGACAAGATGAAAGTTTGTCCACCTTAAATTAGACCTCATATAAATGAGAAACATGGACAGCTTATCTGTTGCCAAAACATGAGAAATGCAACACGGGAGCATGCCTCTGGGCTCTTGTGGGATATACGACCAGAAACAGTATCCCAGTCTCTCTTCGAGAGCACTGGCTGTTCTTCAACTCTGACAAATATGAAAGATCAGAGAAGAGAAAGGCTTCTTTGTCTCAAATTAGGCCTAATATAAATGAGATTGCCCAGCAAAGGCAGGCTCTCACTGCCTTTGTATACCTCCTGAAGGTACAAATGGAAGAGACTCATTTATAAATACATTTTGGGAAGGATGCGTGTATTTTCTCTAGCTCCATTGCTTTCTGCTTTCTGGGTGTCCCGTGATCATACTATAAAGTAGTTGCCTGGAGCTGCTTCTTTTTGTATTTCTTATCCATAAAAAATTCAGTGCAGTGCAAGAACATTTTTGTTCTGAATGTCTGACCCAGAGAAAGAAGTCTGAGAGCCATTGGACTAGATGTCCTTGGGGATCCCTTCCTTCTGGGATTCTCTGAGGGAGGGGCCATGAGGGGAAGAGGCGGGATATGCTGCAGGGGGTGGGTGGGGCCAGCATGTCTGCCAATCATTTCCTGCCTGCAATAATTTTAAGGGGTGAAACTTAATTTTTGTAGCGAGGGGTCTTAAAAATATATTTAGGTGCGAGGAATCCATATCTGCTATTATTTTTGTGATTGGGCGACAGTTAGCTTGGTAAGTCTATATTTGATTAAGAAGCACATAAACTGTTCTCAGAAAACCAAATAATTTTAATTTTGCCTTCTGAAAGGTAGGCAACAGGTAATATAAAATATGCAATGCATATTATATAAATAAAAGTAATAATTTTAGTATATAATATAACTGCAAGTACTTGACACTCGTTTTTAATTATCTCTAGGGCATTTTACATGTTTTACTAACCAAGCAGAACTAAATTGCTTTAATTTAACCAAAATATCTCTTGAATTCCTAAGTCCTGTCACAACTTTTTAGCGCCCCTCATTTTTGGAAGTTGCAAGTTGAAAAATGCAGCGTGCCCTCCTGATTTGGTTGAGATTCCTGCCTTGCAGGGGGTTGGACTGGATGACCCTTGGGGTCCCTTCCAACTTGACCATCCTATGGCTCTCTGGTTTAATCGCAGGGCCTGGAAGTCCCTCTCATCGCCGTGGTCCAGTGGTCAACCCCAAAGCTGCCTTTCACCGCCAGCATCTACACCCACTACAGGTAAGGGAACTTGAAAAGAGGATGAGACATGATATCAAATTAGAATATTAGAATATTAATATTAGAATATTAATTAGAATGGGCTGGGAGTGTGGTTCGACCCAGAAACTTGAAGCTATTTCAAGTTAAGTATGTAGAGACTTGGGTTGAAATTTTAAGAAGACCTCAAAAAGTTTCCCTCACCCCTCCCTGATTTATTAAATAATAATAAATAAATAAAAAGACCTTGAGAAATGGAACCGAATGAAGCTTTCGTTTCTAGGGAGAATATCTGCGATCAAAATGAACTTTCTATCCAAGATGCTTTTTCTGTTTCAGGCCTTCTAGTATTTAGTGGCACTCACTGCTTAAAGCAATGGAAAAAGGACGTAGCTAATTTAATCTGGCAGGGGGGAAAGCCCTGGACTAAATATGAAATTTTAATTGACATAAAGAATAAGGGGTGTGGATTTGGGCTGCCAGACTTGAAAATGTATTATGAAGAGGCTTGTTTATGTTGGATGAAAGAGTGGGTAGAGTTGAAAAACACAAATCTTCTGGAGCTAGAAGGATTCAACCTGATGTATGGATGGCACACTTGCCTGTGCTATGACAAAGCCAAAGTTCATAAGAGAATTCATATTTGCGTGATAAAGAATAATCTATATAAAGTGTGGGTGAGATATAAAGACCTCCTAGAAAGGAAGACGCCCCTGGTGGATCTCCCCTATGGAGACAGTTGCAGTTAAGAAACTAAAGCTGAGTAAGAATTGGGGTACATACAGGGACCTCCTTGAAATCAAAGAGAACTCTATTGGACACAACATTGAAATTTCAGCCTGGGAGAAGCTGTGGAACAAAACTATTAATATTTCGGCCTGATAAAAGAAAATATACAAAGAATGCTGTACAGGTGGTACCTGACCCCCAATAATCTTGCTAAGATTTACAGATGAGGGTCCAACCTCTGCTGGAAATACTCAGAGGTTGAGGGATCCTTTATCCATATATGAGGGCAGTGTAAACTTGCCCCAAAGTTCTGGGGGATGGTCTATGACCAGCTTAGAAAACTTTTCCGGATCACATTTCCAAAAAACCCGGAAGCTTTTCTACTATTGATGATTGGAGATGAGATCCCTACAAAGGTTCATAACCTATTCCTCTATGTGACGGCTGCAGCCAGACTAGAATATGCCAGAAGTTGGAAAGGAAAAGAAATTCCAGCTAAAGAACAATGGCTGCAGAAACTAATAGAATTTGCGGAACTCGCAAATCTCACAGCCAGAATAAAAAACCGAGATGGGGGGAAACAAAGGGATGGGACAGCTTTGGGAAATATTAAAAAAAATATGATGCTAAAATCAATCTACAAGTAGGGGTGTATAAACAATATAACGAAGGACTACAAGGAGAAAACTAGGGTGCAGCAAAAACTAGGTTTATTAAGAATGCCATGGAAGGGAAGGTTGGGAAGTCTGCACAAAACCTCCATATGATGGTTAAGAAAAGAGGATCAGGCATAGCCCTGCAAGAAGAGAGGGAAATACAGGGCTACTGGACTTGGTCACGTCACAGAGTGACAGCAGCAAAGGGGGGCCAGGCCCACCCGCAACTGGCTGGACCTCCACCCACTTCGTCCAAAAGGTGTTTCTCTCAGTCATGCAGAAATCTTGAGCTGCAATTCCTGCCCTGCCGGGGGTGGGTGGGCTAGATGGCCCTTGGCGGTCCCTCTCAGCTCCATGACTCCATGAGGACGATGGACGCTGCCTCCCCGCTGCTGGCTGCCCATCTTGCTGCCACATCTTTACTTTCCCACTCACGTTCCCAGGGACGAAGGGGTCCTACCCCCCCCCAGGTGGGGTGCGGTGGGGCAGGACCCTGACTGCCCCCTTCCTGGGCCTCCCTGCCCTGACACTCAGCGCAGCTTCCCGTCCTCCCTTAAGCTGCTAAATGCTTTGAATGTTTGATGCTTTCTTATGTTTTTATATGTGCTGGAAGCCCAGCCAGGTGGGCGCGGTCTTCTTCTTCTTCTTCTTCTTCTTCTTCTTCTTCTTCTTCTTCCTCTTCTTAGGCTCCCCAGCATCCGCCTGGCCCGCCCCCGATTCGTCATGACAGCCGAGTGTGAGTCTCCGGTCGCCCTTCACCGCCGCTTCACCGTCACCTACACCCTCATCAACAACCTGCAGGACTTCCTGGCCGTGCGCCTGGTGTGGACTCCGGAGAGTGCGGCTGCTGGTGAGAGCATGGTGGGCTGGGCTGGATGACCTTTGGTGGCCCCTGCCCAGCCCAACCATTCCATAATTCTGTGGCGGTCTCTCCTTCCTTGGAGGATCGCCATCTGTCAGGCATTATTTTGTGACCCTTGGGGTCTATGATTCCATGATTCTTCCCTCCTGTTTTGGGGAGCAGGGAAGGAGGGCAATGGAGGAGGCAGGCTGACGGGGTGGGTGAGAGAGGCAGGGCTTATCTGCGATCCCTAGATGACCCTGAGTTTCCATGATTCTATGAGTCCTGCCTGGAAATACTGCGTTGGAAGGTCTTTAGGGAGATGCTGGGGAGCCATTTCTCAGGGATTCTCTAGCTTTGGACTAGATGACCAGTGGGGATCCCTTCCAACTCTACGATTCTCCAGCCAGGAAGAGTTGTGGGGGGAGCCTTGCCACTCTTGGTCCGGGGGGTGGGGTGGGCTGGAGCATGAGGAAGTGGATGACAAAGAGCTCCTGGGCCGTGCTCACAGGGAACAGAGCCTCCAAGCTCAGGGGCAGTCTCCCCGCAAAAGCAGGAGCTGGTGGTTCTCGCTTGTGGGCTTCTCTGGGGCACCTCAGGTGGGACAAGGCTGCTGCCCTTTCCTTTTCCTGACACCCCCCAGGCAAGAAGCTGTCCCGCGAGGAACGGCGCGCCATCCAGGACGCCCAGGACGCCATCGTCTGCCACACGCCGCTCAACAACTTGGGGTTCTCCCGGAAGGGCAGCGCCCGGACTTTCTGCGTCACCTTCCAGGCGCTGCGTGCCGGGTTGTACGAGGTAAGAAGCCCCTGTGCGCCAGCACATGCTTCCATCTGGGCTCTGGGGCTCCTTTCTGCGGGGGGGGGGGGGCTGGGCTGCATGGCCCTTGGGGGATTCTTGACAATGCTGTGGTTGAATGTGGGCAGATTTGGGAAAGGTAAAAGAAAGACTTTCTCCGCACAGCACAGTTAACCTGTGGAACTCCCTCCCACAAGAGGGATGGCATTAAAAGAGGATCGGACCCTGCAGGAAGATGGATTTTCCTTCATCTGTCCCAAATCTTCCCAGGGGCTGGTAGTTGTCACAGCCCCCTCCATGAATCTGCCCAACCCTCTTTTAAAGCCATCCAAGTGGATGGCCAGCTCTGCTTCCCGTGGCAGTGAGTTCCAAAGTTCAGCTCTTGCAAGGTGGCCCCAGTTGCTGGAAACCACAGGCGGGGAGGGAGTGGTTATTGCGCTTGGATTTTGCTTGCAGGAATCTCACAATGGGCATCAGGTTGGCCACTGAGAGAAGATGCTGCCTGGTCATCTCTCATGGCTGCTTGAGCTGAGATTCCTGCATTGCAGGGGGTTGGACTAGAGGAGCCTCAGGGTCCCTTTCAGCCCTAGAACACTATGGTTCTAAGGGTCTGTGGCTGGATGGGCCCCTTTGGCCCAGCTGGCCCTTCTGGCAGAGTGGAGATGGGATTGTGGGGCTCTGTAGAGGACCTTGCTGGTGTCTGTGCTCAGGGTGGTGCTGATGGGCAGCCAAGCCCTTCCTTCTGGACCTGGACCTGCTGAGTTGCAGGGGGCTGGACTGGATGACCCTCAGAGCTCCCTCCCAACTCCACAGTCCACTGCTATTGCTGCTGCCCTCCTGGGCTCCCGCTCTGTTTGGCACTGCCCAGCTGCAGAAGGAATGGACCTCTTTCTCTTTCTCTTCCTCGTTCTTTGCTCCCCGGAAGCTCTCCCAGCACATGAAGCTGAAGCTGCAGTTCACCGCCAGCGTCTCGAACCCACCTCCCGAGGCCCGGCCCGTCTCCCGCAAGAGCAGCCCAGGCAGCCCGGCTGTCCGGGAGCTGGTGGAGCGTCACCAGGCCAGTCTGGGCCGCTCGCAGAGCTTCTCCCATCAGCAGCCGGCCAGGGGCCACCTCATGAGGTGGGTGCAGGGGGTTCAGCTAGATGGCCCTGTGGGGTCCCTTCCAATTCTACAATCCATGATTCTCACTCTTTCAGGGAACAGGAAGGGAGGGTAATGGAGGAGGGTGGGCTGAAGGGGGCAGACAAGAGAGGCAGGGCTCCTGGGTTCTCCTGGGGGTCGGCCAAGGCCCCCCACTTGCCCCCCACTGAGGCCTCTCTTTCTCTCCCCCCCCCACAGGTCAGGCAGTGTCATGGAGCGCCGAGCAATCACTCCCCCCGTGGGCTCCCCCGTGGGGCGGCCCCTCTACCTGCCCCCTGACAAGGCTGCTCTTTCCCTGGACAAGATTGCCAAGCGGGAGTGCAAGGTGCTGGTGGTGGCCCCCGTCACGTGAGGTGGGGGCAGAGACCCCACCCCCTTCCCCTGCCCTCCTCCAAAAGGGAGACGCTGCCTCCTGCCTTGCAAGGGAACAAACCTCCTGCCTCCCCCGCCCCAAAACCTGCAAACGCCCCAGTGCTGCCCCCCCTGGAATAAAAGCCGCGCATGTGACCCCCCAGGAAAAATCTCAGCACACCCAATCAATGTGGGGGGACCTTCCACTTCTCTCTGCTGTTCCCTTTCCCTTGCGGGGGCTCAGAGCTCCAGCCCCCCCCCCAATGAGACACCCCTCTCACTGTGCCATCTCCCACTCTCCTTCTGGGGTTTTTGGCTGCTCCCCCTCCCCACATTTGCTCCTTCAAAATGGGGGGCACATACCCCCAACCTCATTGACTTCGTCCTCCACGGTGTGTGCAAATGAGGCCAAGCGTCGGGGGGGCAGCTCCCCCAATTGCCCCATGCTGAGGATCAGGAATCAGCTGCTGCTGCTAAACCTTGGAGCTTGACGGTACACCCACTGGACAGCTGCATTGCAGAGGGTTGGACTAGATGACCCTCGGGGTCCCTCCCAACGCTACAGGTCTATGGTTATGGGACGAATCTGTGCTGCCCCCTGCTGGTGGAGGGGTACCTTTGCTGCTGCGGATCTTCTGGATCACACTGGATTGTGCCACTTCTGAGGACTGGGAAGGGGGCAGATTTCTCTTACCCCCCCACCCCATTTCACACTGGCAGCTGCTACATCCACGGGAGAGGGGTGGGCAGGCCTCCACCCAGCCCCTCCTGCCATCTCAGGCCAAAGGGCCCCATTCCATTGCACTTTATTTAATTTTTATGTTATTTATATATTTTGTATTATTATTTGCCTCCAAAGCATCTCCGACTCCACGTTGTGTGTTTTGCAAATAAACTGCGCTGGCTGGGGAAAGTGTTGGTGTGTTTTGGGGGGTGTTCCAGGAGTGGGGAGAGACATTCCTCCAAGGAAGGACGTCTAGCGGACGCCCAGTGAAGCTGGACGCTGGAGGATTCAGGACAGATTAGAAAAAGCCCTTCTTCACACCGCAGAGTTGGGCTGCGGAACTCCCTCCTGCAGGAGGCCATGAGGACCTCCGACTTGGATGGCTTTAATCTGGGCAGGAGGAGGGAGCTGGCGGGGGCTCCTGGCCAGGAGGCTCTGCCTCCACAGCTGGAGAGAAGGCGGCTTCTGAAGGGCACTTGCTGGAGACCACGGGACGGGAGAGGCCTCTCGGGCGCCCAGCTGGAAGCTGCGAGCTCCGCCCACTGAGCCGCGCTGCCCTTCCCCTCGGACTGAGCGGGGGGCCCTGGAAAGACCTCCTGCCCCTCGCAGGTCAGCGCCGCCGGGGGGCGAGGGGGGTCCGGGGGGGGCTGGGGGCGAGCTCCCCCTCCCCTCCGATGCCCCAGGGAGGGAGGGAGCCTCCCCCCGGGCGGCCCCTTCCCCCAGCAAAGCCTCTTCCGCCCAAACGCACCGCCAAGACGCGACTTCCGACGGAAGCGACCTGCAGTCGTTCTCTGTCCCCCTAGTGCCGCTCTAGTCCTCCGAAGCGTCTCCATGGCGAAGGCCGGCGGGTCGGGGGAGGCGCTCGGGCGACGCTAGGCCGGGCCGGGGGCGGGGCTCCGAAGCGCGCCTTTTCCCTTGAGTGGGCGGGGCGCCCGGGGGAGAGAACGGGCGGGGCGGGAAACGGGGAGGAGGCCTGAAGGGAACGCCGAGGAGGAAGCAGCAGCGAGGGAGCGAGGCGCAGAATGGAGGAGCTGAGGGGCTTCTCGTGCTCCAGATGAAGAGGAGCAGCGCCGTTGTCCCCAAGGCCGCGGGAGAGGAGTGGGGGGCCTGGAGGGGAGCGCAGCCCTTGGGGGAACAGCCAGGAGCCGGGGAGGCGAGAGGCAGAGGGGCCGCCCGATTCTGCAGCGAAAAGGTGGAAGCCCGGCGTCTTCCGCTCTAGACCTCCAAGCCAGCCTGAAGACTTGGGTGGGGCCTGCCTAGAGCAGATGGAAAAGCATTTCCAAAAGAGAGAAAGTTCTTCCACACAATCCTAGTGTTGGAAGGAAGCCCAAGGGTCATCTAGTCGAACCTGAATCCATTGGTTTGGTTCCTGAGCCCTTGAGATACTTGCAGATGGCTCTCCTCTCTCAGTCTCCTCTTCCCCAGGCTAAACATCCCCAGCTCCTTCAAGCGTTCCTCATCAGGCCTGGCTTCCAGACCCTTGATCATCTGGGCTGCCCTGCTCTGCACATGTTGCAGCTTGTCAACATCCTTGAGCTTGCTCTGGACACCAGACTTCTGAGATGCAGCCTGAAAGAGCAGGAGCTTTTTTAATGCTGCAGCATCACACTGCCTAGAGCAGGGGTCAGCAAACTTTTCCAGCAGGGGGCCGGTCCACTGTCCCTCAGGCCCTGTGGGGGCCAGACTATATTTTTTTGGGGGGGGAATGAACAAATTCCTATGCCCCACAAATAACCCAGAGAGGCATTTTAAATAAAAGCACACATTCTACTCATGTAAAAACACAGTGATTCCCAGAATGCCCACGGGCCAGATTGAGAAGGTGACTGGGCCGGATCCGGCCCACGGGCCTTAGTTTGCCTATCCATGGCCAAGAGAGTACCCCCAAATAAAGCACCTCTGAGTGTGTGCAGAGTGACTGAGGTTCCTCCTTGACTCCTGCTTTGGAGAGAAGATGCAGAGTGGGAAGAGAGGGTGAGCTTTTTGTAAAAAGAACACAGCTGCATGCCTGGAGAGGATAGGAAATGAAGGCAGTGGGGTGGAACAAGGTCCTCCAGAGCAAAAGTCCCTCGTTCTGAGGCACTTCCTCACCCTGTTCAAGCGCTGTATCAGTGATGCCTCCAGGGACCTGGTGAGTCTATCTTCTTCTGCCATGGAGTGCATTTGCAGGAAGGGGGTGGCCCAGTGCTGAAGGGGAGGGTGCAGGGAACCTGCTCAGCTAATCCCTGGAGGGACCCCCTACAACCCCCAAATCAGGGAGCAGAGGTTCCTCCCTGTCTGCTGTTCCTTTGGATCCACGTACTGCTTGCCACTTTATGGAGGGGTCTTTGGGTTGGGAAGAAGAGGGCATGCAAACAAACCCCCATTTAGATGTCACATTTATGAACAGAGCCAGGCAGAAATATTTGGACATAAAATATACACGTAATATAAAAACGACAATCTGACCTCTGCAGTAAATCAAGAAAGACTGTTGGAAGATTGAGGGCGGGCTTCTGCATGCGGTGCACTGTGGAAACTATGGAACTCCTTCCCACAGGAGGCAGGGACGGTCGCCAACCGAGATGGCTTTCAAAAGGGGATGAGGCCAGTTCATGCAGGAGACAGAAGTCTGCCTAGGCTCCTTTGTGCCCTTGTCAGCCGTGACAGCGGCGCCTGGATGTCTGCCCAGAAGGGAAAGGGGCCCTCCTGCCCTAGTCCCACACCAGCCTCCCCCCACCTGACGCTGACCAGGAGCTTTGGACTACAACTCTCGCCTGCCCACTGCGTTTTGGACCAGTTCCCCAGTCATCATAGAATCATAATATTATAAATTATTGTTATTATTATTTTCAATTACCCACCTAAAGTTCACAGGGCAGATGACAACAGAGAAGCACAATATTAAAGAACAGTTCAAAACAGCCTACAATCATGGGGAAATGGTGGAGAGAAGGGTGAATTGGGTGTGCTCGGCTAGCCAAGGGTTAAAAGAAATGGGCGCTGCCTTCCTAGAGAGGACGTATTAAAAAGGGGGTGTCAGGTCCTCCAGAGAAAAAGCCCCTCCCTCCCAAGGCTTTTCGTGCAAGTGGGGGGGCTCTTGTCTCGGCTCTGCATCTTCCGGGATCTGGTGAGTCTCCCTTCTCTTCTCCGGGGGAGGGGGCAGGGGGGGACCCTCAAATCCAGTGCCGGGTTAAACCTGCAGATTATTTCGAAGCTTCTGCCTCGGGTTGATTGTCATTTTCTTTCCAGATCAAATCCATGTTCTTTTGATCCATTGTTGTGGGGCCCCAAAAGGCGTGGGGCCCCTAGACCGGTGCCTACTCTGCCTACTTGGTAAATTGGGCACTCCGTCCCCATCCCTCTCTGCAAAGCCTCGGAGGGGCCAGCTCGCAGGAGGCTGCAACTGTACCCTTTGGGGGAGAGGAAAAGAGCAGATCTGAAAACCCCCTTCAAACTGAGGATCAACAGAGGTTGAAGCCGGACACAAATATACGCCAAGGAAAAAACAAAAGCCTGACGTAAGGAATAAAGAAAGAGTGACCTTCCCTCTGTCCTTGGTTGAGCTGGGGAACTCCCTCCTGCAGGAGGAAGGCTGGGCCGCCTGCCTGGCTGGCTTGAAAGGAGGGAGAGGCCAACGCGGGGCGGGGGCGGTGCTCTATAAAAAACCCGAGGACAGCTGGGAGGCCCACCTACGTTTCCTGCTCCCTTTTTTCTTGCCATTCTGCAGTAGCTGTTTTTAGCCGCTTCCATGCCCTCTGGGATATTCGGATATGGAGATAGGAGAGCAGACACTCTGCACATGCTCAGAGGCACAGTGGAGGTGAATGCACTTCCTTTACATCCTCCTTCCATCAGGTTTTGGGAGAGAACAAAGCACATTCCAAACAGACATAAGCAAAGGTCTGTCTCTTCCTACAGCCTCCATTTTCTCTGGAGCCGTTTTCTCTCACTTCAGGAGAGTCGGAGAAAACAAAAGACTCAGTCACCACCCTGCCAAGATGGCGAATTTGCTATTCAATAGCCTCCCATGGGATCTAAGGTCACTCCCTGGCGGCTAGAGAACAACAACCAGTTAATTATCAACTAGTTAAAGCTCAAGAGACCGCTCTTCTTGCTTGTCTGAAGTCAATGGAATCTTCCAGTTAAACCCTTTCACCAATATATTATTATTATTATTATTATTATTATTATTATTATTATTATTATTTCTTCAATTTATATACCACCTTTTATCAAAAGATCTCAGGGTGCTGTACAACATTAAAAAATCATGACAGAACATCAATGATAAAAACATAATAAGAACTTAGTAAAAAGCATACTGACAAATAGCCTAATAATAAAATAGTCGTCATCGTAAGAGTTTTCTCCCCCATACTTTTACAGGCCATAGATTATTTAATAGCCAAAGGTCTGGGTAAAGAGGAATGTTTTTGCCTGGCACCTGAAGATATGTAATGAGGGTGCCAGACAAGCCTCTCTGGGGAGAGCATTCCACAGTTGGGAGCCACCACAGAAAAGGCTTGTTCTCTTCTTGGCAGTACACAGACATTCCCATTTCAGTGTGAATTAAATCAGTTATGCTTAACGTCACCATCCAAGGCAGGAGAGGCCCTGCTAGAAAGGAAGCCCACGGGGTGGTGTGGAAAGCAGTGGCACAGTGGAGGGGGCCGGGGGGCCATGGTCCCAGGCGCAGAATCTGGAGAGGGGGGAAACCAGGCCTTCCCCAACCAAGGAATTGGCATTAGGATGCCCTCTTGGCCCCAAGTGGAGCCCCCAGAGGGAAGCCATTAAGGCTCCCAGCCTGTCTCTGTGTTGGCAAACTGGCTGTTTGACCTGGGTGAAATAAAACCTAGTTTTGCTCCTGTCTTGAAGAAAAAGCAGGTATGGCAATGCTATAAATAGAGAGCGAAGCAAGCCCATTATCTGGTTGCTGCATTTTGAACCAGTTTCCAAGTTGTCTTCAAGAGCAGCTCGACCCAGAGGGCATTGCAACGATCCCTTAGCATAGGAGTATCCCAAGCATATATGGCTGGGGGGGGGGGGTTAAGGTCTGTTGTTGTTGTTGTTGTTGTTGTTGTTAGCCTGCCTTTCACTCTAAGTTCCCAGGGCAGGTAACAACATTAAAACACAACATTAAAAACAGCTTTAAAAAAGCTTAACAATCACAGAAAGAAGGTGAGTCCTGCTCTGCTTGCTGTTAAATGCTGTGCTTTGGCTTCACCCACTTGGCCCTCAAGGAGTTGGGCAGATCAGGATCTGGCCCTCAGAATAAAGAAAGGGGGACCCCATCCCAGGAGTCTTTCTTGAGAAGGTTGGAAATGAGACGCAAGCAGGAAAAAACATGCCCTGAAGTCAGAGTGAGAGGAAGAGCAACTCTGGAAAATCCCTTGGTTAGCACCCCCACAAATGACTTACTCATCACTCATAGTTCTGACTTCCTTCCTTGACTGAAAACATTGCAAGGTAGAAGCAATCAGGCCGTTTCAACTCACAGAAATCCCTTCTATTGCCGGCACATTTTTTAGGGTCATTTTCCTTACAGGAGGGCTAGAGGATTACTTTTCCTTCCTTCCTTTATTAAAGAAAGCTCAGAGCCTGGACTGTGGTGGAATCCAGTCCTGGTTCCTAGCAAAACTCATCCACGCTTGCTCAGGAAACCTTTCTCTTCTCCTAACTGTGTGACAATTTTATAATGGAACAATATATTTGCTTTTTAGAAGTTGCTGGCAGCTCTAATTCAGACCATCAGACAGAAGATGACGAAAGGAAAAACAGATTCCTTGAGATCTCTGGAGGACTTCCTGGGAGCAGAGCTGGATAAGCAAAATTCAGCTGGTCCTGAAGCAGGAGGAGCCCATGCCATTGGCACTGGGAGAAGTGGGGGATTCTGGGAAAACTCTGTGCAGCAGGTCCTGAGAGAAGAGGACACCCTCCGCTCAGATGTGCAGAGCCAGCAGTTCAGCTACCAGGAGACTGAAGGACCACGAGAGGTTTGCAGCTGGTTCTACCACCTTGACCATCAATGGCTGGAGCCAGAAAGGCACACGAAAGCTGAGATGCTGGACCTGGTGATCTTGGAGCAATTCCTGGCTGTCCTTCCACCGGAGATGGAGAGCTGGGTGAGGGAATGTGGAGCAGAGACCAGTTCCCAGGCAGTGGCCCTGGCCGAAGGTTTCCTCCTGAGTCAGGCGGAGGAGAGGAAGCAGGTGAGAGAGACTTTCCTCTGGATGCTCCCAAGGGGCTCCAGACAGGAGGGAGAGTCTCCTAAAATCATCTACTAATGGCCCATCCTTTTTTGGAAAGCATCCAAGGAAGAATATATGATACCCCCAGATTTTATCTCTGCCATTCGCTTTCTGATCTTTCTCCCCATTCTCTGTTTGGAATCCCTGTTTCTCTTTCAGGGAAAGGATCTGTTTGCAGAAATGGGCCCTGATTTGGCAGAGATGACTCCGTTGGACACCAGAGAGAGGCTGCTGGGTAAGGAGGAAGGAGTTTCTTCTCCATTTGGTCACATGCTGTGGATTTAGAAACTAATCTGTAAATTCTTTTCATATTTTGGGGTAAGACACTTGGAGGTCAGATGTTTCTTTGCACAATGAAAATATGAAATGGGTACAAACATCAGCAGGGGATAATTTCTCTAAGGCCTATCTGTAGCTAGATAAGCACTGCTTCACCCCTGAGAGCATCATGCACTCGTGGATTCTGACTTAACTTTGTCTCTTGCAGGTGACAAAATGATGCCGGCAAGAGCTCCTCATCCATCCTTTCATGATGGTGGAGGGGAATCAGTGGCTGTGGAACCAGATCAGGTAGGGGGTAGGAGGCTGAGGAGTGGGGTAGCCAGGGTGTCTCTGGTTCCAAACAAGTGTCTCTCCTCTAGGCTTGTGTCTACAAAGTTGTATTACTGGGAAATGAGGGAGGAAGTGATCATGTCCTCCTGGATTTCATGATTCAGAGGCAACTGAAAATGGAGTATATTCAGACATGCACTCTGGCCAATTTCAAAAAGCTTAAGGAGCTTCTGGGTGAGATCCCATGGTCACAAATAGTCAAAGAAAAGGGTTTCCCAGGTTGCTGGGAGTTTCTTAAAGGTGAGGTGTTGAAGGCACAAATACAGACAAGTCCAACCAAAAAAAAAAGTGGGAGGCATCTAGATAAATTGATGTGGTTACATAAGGAGCTTACAGGTGAGCTGAAAAGTAAGAAGGCCACAAAAGAGGAGTAGACAAGAGGAGGCAACAGTTGTGGGGAGAAGGTCTGGTGGGCCAAAGCTCAGAATGAAGCTCAGGTTTTCAAGAGAGGTTCAAAATAAATTTTAAAAGTTTTATTTGGCTATGTTTGAAGCAAGGGGAAGAAAAAGAAAATAGTAGTTCCCATGCATAGAGAATACAGAGAAATGCTTTTGGATGACAGACAAAAGGCAGAACTGCAGCAAAATCAGCTAATGCTATTCTAGGCTGTGTTAACAAAAGTTTAGTGTCCTGATCATGAGAAGTAATAGTCCCACTCTATTCTGCCTTGGTCAGACCACACCTGGAATATTGTGTGCAGTTTGGGGCACCAAAGTTTAAGAGAGATGTTGACAAGCTGGAAGGTGTACAGAGGAGGGCAACCAAGATGATCAGGGGCCTGGAAACCAAGCCTGATGAGGAATGGTTGAAGGAGCTGGGTATGTTTAGCCTCCAGAAGAGGAGACTGAGAGGAGATAACATAGTAAAAATGGATTCTACAAAGGAGATTCCAACTAAACATCAGGAGGAAGTTTCTGACAGTAAGATGTTTGACAGTTGAACTGACCCCCTTGGAAGGTTGTGAACTCTCCTTCATTGCAGCTCTTTAAGCAGAGGTTGGATGGTCCTTTGTCAGGGATACTTTAGTTGAGATTCCTGCATTGCAGGATTTGGATTATCTGACTCTCAGGGTCTCTTCCAATTCTTCCAGTTCAAGAATTCTATTATTTTATCAGTCATTTCTTCAGTGATCAGGATTAACCTAACCAGCCCCATCAGCTGCACAATAGGGCTTTCTCCCACTGTTTCTACCCCCTGAAAGTCTCCCCTAACCTCATCCCCAATAGCAGACAGAGGGAGAAGGGAATGGACTCTTCCATCTGGCAAATGGAAAGCTTGAGCAGACAATATTGGAGTTCCATCCATTTGCACAAAGATTGATAACTAGCATTAAAATACACAATAAAAGAATTCCATTAAGATGTTAAGATAAGTATCCATAATTAAAATGCAAACAATCCCATTAAACAATCCCATGAAAACAACAGGGCAATTAACAGGCAGAAAACAACAGCACAATGTGTAGTACTTCATTTTATACTGTCTAAGAGGAGGACCTTTTCCTTTCAGGGTTCATTGTGCTTTGAAGATGTCGCTATTCATTTCACAGACGAGGAATGGGCATTGCTAGACCCTGACCAGAGAGCTCTGCATCAGGAAGTCATGGAAGAGAATCGTGGGATCATGGCCTCTCTCGGTAAGGTTCCCTGTTGGATCATCATAATAATAATTTATTATACCCTGTCCATCTGGCTGGGTTTCCCCAGCCACTCTGGGCGGCTTCCAACAAAACACTAAAATACAGTAACCTATTCCAACATTAAAAGCTTCCCTGAACAGGGCTGCCTTCAGATGTCTTCTAAAAGTTTGGTAGTTATTTTTCTCTTTGACATCTGGTGGGAGGGCATTCCACAGGGCGGATGCCACTACCGAGAAGGCCCTCTGCCTGGTTCCCTGTAACTTGGCTTCTCACAGCAAGGGAACCACCAGAAGGCCCTCGGCGCTGGACCTCAGTGTCCGGGCAGAATGAAAGGGGTGGAGACGCTCCTTCAGGTGTACTGGGCCGAGGCCATTTAGGGCTTTAAAGGTCAACACCAACACTTTGAATTGTGCTCGGAAATGGGCTGGGAGCCAATGTAGGTCTTTCAAGACCGGTGTTATATGGTCTCGGCGGCCACTCCCAGTCACCAGTCTAGCTGCCACATTCTGGATTAGTTGTAGTTTCTGGGTCACCTTCAAAGATAGCCCCACATAGAGCACATTGCAGTAGTCCAAGCGAGAGATAACTAGAGCATGCACCACTCTGGTGAGACAGTCCGTGGGCAGGTAGGGTCTCAGCCTGCGTACCAGATGGAGCTGATAAACAGCTGCCCTGGATACAGAATTGACCTGCACCTCCATGGACAGCTGTGAGTCCAGAATGATTCCCAGGCTGCGCACCTGGTCCTTCAGGGGCACAGTTACCCCATTCAGGACCAGGGAGTCCTCCACACCCACCCGCCTTCTGTCCCCCAGAAACAGTACTTCTGTCTTGTCAGAATTCAACCTCAATCTGTTAGCTGCCACCCATCCTGTTTTGAAATTCCATATGTAATGAACTCCCAAGATTTTAATTAACTGCACCACCTACAGCATCTAAAGTCTTATACCCCCACAAGCCACCTTTAATGGAAGGATTATTGACTGTTTTGTCTGTGAAGATTCTTTGTCCAGTTATGCCTTTCTTAAGAATGATCTGGCTGTCCTGAACTGCCCTGGCCCTTTTAAATGTTGACTTCAGAGTGGTTAGGGAAGTTGAGGGAGCTTCTGTCAGGCATTGTGCTTGTCCTTCTGCTGTGGTCAATTTTTCGTCGACCAAAGAGACTACTGACCTTGGAGATGGAGGGGATTCCATGACTGGGCCAAACAAAATCCATTCCAGAGGAAAGCCAGGCTCTTCAAATCTCAGGTTCCCATAAATACATCCATGAATGCACATCAACAAAGGATATGAATCCTCTAGTAGGATCTCCCATGTAAGATCTTTTAGTTCTTCCTCTGTCACAAGCATTAATCAACATTGTTCAATAATTTGGAGCTACATTTCTTCCCGATGCGCTAATCTGTTTCTCTTTTCATTGCAGGTGGTGATGAATTGGAAATGAAGAACAAGGGAGACCACAACAAAATCCGCAGAGTGGAGAAACCACAGAAATATTTGGAGTGTGGTGAGAGCTTCAATCAGAGCAGCAATCTCACTTCTTATCAAGGAATTCACACAAACAAGAAACCTTATCAGTGCTTGGAATGTGGGAAGAGCTTCAAACATAGCTCCCATCTCACTTCCCACCAGAGAATTCATGCAATGGAGAAACCCTATCAATGCTTAGAATGTGGAAAGAGCTTCAATCAAAAAGGCAATCTCACATCCCATCAAAGAATCCATACAGGGGAGAAACCCTATCAATGCTTGGAATGTGGAAACAGCTTCCGTCAGAGAACTGATCTCACATCCCATCAAAGAATTCATACAGGGGAGAAACCCTATCAATGCTTAGAATGTGGGAAGAGCTTCAGGCACAGGGTTAATCTCACTTCCCATCAAAGAATTCATACAAGGGAGAAACCATATCAATGCTTGGAATGTGGGAAGAGCTTCAGTCAAAAGGGCAGTCTCAATCTCCATCAAAAAACTCATACAGGCGAGAAACTACATCAGTGCTTGGAATGTGGAAAGAGCTTCATTCGGAAGGAAACACTCACTTTCCATCAAAGAATTCATACAGGGGAGAAACCATATCAGTGTACGGAATGTGGAAAGAGATTCAGTCAGAGTGGTCTTCTGACTTCTCATCGAAGGGTTCATACTGGGGAGAAACCTTATAAATGCTTAGAATGTGGAAAGAGATTCAGTCAAAAAGTCAATCTCACTTCCCATCATAGAATTCATACAGGGGAGAAACCATATCAGTGTACGGAATGTGGAAAGAGCTTTAGTCAGAGTGGTCTTCTGACTTCCCACCAAAGAATTCATACAGGGGAGAAGCCCTATCAATGCTTGGAATGTGGAAAGAGCTTCAGTCAGAAAGGAAATCTCACTTTCCATCAAAGAATCCATACAGGGGAGAAACCATACCAATGCTTGGAATGTGGAAAGAGTTTCAGTCAGAGTGGCCTTCTTGATTCCCATCAAAGAAGTCATACAGGGGAGAAACCCTATCAGTGCTTGGAATGTGGAAAGAGCTTCAGTCAGAAAGGAAATCTCACTTTCCATCAAAGAATTCATACAGGGGAGAAACTCCACCAATGCTTGGAATGTGGGAAGAGCTTCATTCGGAAGGAAAATCTCACTTCCCATCAAAGAATTCATACAGGGGAGAAACCATATCAGTGCCTGGAATGTGGGAAAAGCTTCACACAGAAGGTCAATCTTACCTTCCATGAAATAATTCATACAGGGGAGAAACCATATCAGTGTTTAGAATGTGGGAAGAGTTTCAGTCAGAGGAACAGTCTTATTTATCATCAAAGAGTTCATGGAGGCGGAAAACTCTATCAGTGCTTGAAATGTGGGAAGAGCTTCAGTCAAAGGAACAGTCTCACTTCCCATCAAAGAGTTCATACAGGAGAAAAACCCTACCAATGCTTAGAATGTGGGAAGAGCTTCAGTCACAGCGCCACTCTCACGTCACATCACAGAATTCATACAGGGGAGAAACCATATCAGTGTACGGAATGTGGGAAGAGCTTCACTCAGAGGGGCCATCTCACTTTCCATCAAAGAATTCATACAGGGGAGAAACCATATCAGTGTACGGAATGTGGGAAGAACTTTAGGGACAGCCGCGCTCTTACTTCCCATCACAGAATTCATACAGGGGAGAAACCATATCCGTGCTTGGAATGTGGAAAGAGCTTTAACGAGAGTGCCATTCTCATCTCTCATCAAACAATTCATACAGGAGAAAAAGCATTTCAGTGCTTTGAATGTGGAAAGAACTTCAGTAAGAAGAGTAATCTTACTACTCATCAAAGAATTCATACAGGGGAGAAACCATATCAGTGCTTGGAATGTGGAAAGAGCTTCAGTCAGAATGGATCTCTCACTTCCCATCAAAGAATTCATAAAGGGGAGAAACCATATCAGTGCTTGGAATGTGGAAAGAGCTTCAGTCAAAAGGGAAGTCTCACTTCCCATCAAAGAATTCACACAAGAGAGAAACCATATCTGTGCTTGGAATTTGGAAAGGACTTCAGACAGAGTTCCCATTTCAATTCCCATCAAAGCACTGACACTGGGGAGAAACCATAGAGTCACGGAATCATAGTGTTGGAATGGACCTATGACAGATGGCCATCCAACCTCTGCTTTAAATGTCTTTAGCAGTTCATGCTGCTGTCAAACAACTCTTATCATCAGAAAGTTATTCCTGACGTTTTGTCAAAATCTCCCAAAATCTTGTTTCTTAAAACTTGTAGCCACTGGTTTGAGTTCTACCTGTTGCAGCTGCAAACAAACAAATAAACAGTGGTCTCTGGCCACTATTCTCCATTCATTGTGAGGTGGAATTAATGTTAGAACCATTCTTAGTGAAGCCAATTGTCACATATGCAAGAATAAAACCTGACCACAAGACTGGCAAGAACCAGTTGAAGAGGAACCTCGTGGTGAATTGCCCAATGAAAAGCACTAAGGAGGGTTCTGACACATACAGCGTAAGCTGTTTATCATGGACTGTGGTTAAATAAGGGCTGGGAAAGGGTTGTTTTGCCAGAAGGTGCTTGGGTGGAGGATGGATAGCTAATAAGACATCCATTTGCTAATAATAATAATTATTATTATTATTTATTTATACCCCGCCCATCTGGCTGGGTTTCCCCAGCCACTCTGGGCGGCTTCCAACAGAACACTAAAATACAATAACCTATTAAACATTAAAAGCCCCAGTGGAAATGCTCTCGCATTTTTTGAATAAAGTCTGGCTGATGGAGAATCTGGTGTGAGCTTCTCTACTTGAACCTCCCAAGGGGAATCTCCCCCCCCCATGGAAAAATGCCCCATTGTTTGTTAGAACATGAGAAGAGTTCTGCAGCTGGATCAGGCCAAAGGCCCACCTAGTGCGTCATCCTGTCTTTGGATCCAGATGCCCATTGAGGAAGCCCAGAAACACACCTGAGAGAAACAACACTCCCCCCCGCCACCTGTGGTTCCAGGCAACAGATATAATAATTAACTTTAATGCAAACATTTAAATTGATTGGTTAATTAATTAATTAGTTAGTTAGTTAATTATACTTACTGTTTTGTACCCTACCCATATGACTGGGTTACCCTAGTTACTCTGGGCAGCTTCCAAAATAATATATACAAACACAACAACACAACAGAACAGAACATCACACATGAAAAGTGTCCCGATACAGGATTGCCTTCAGATGTCTACAAAAGATGGTATACAGTAATTATTTATCTCTTTGGCATCTGATAGGAGGGTGTTCCACAGGATGGGCATGACTAGCAAGAAGGCCTCTGGTTCCCTGTAACCTCATGTATGGCAATGAGGGACAGCTGTGAGTCCAAAATGACTCCCAGGCCACACACACACCTGGTCCTTCAAGGGCACTGTTACCCCGTTCAGGACCAGGGAGCCCCCACACTCAGATGTCCCATTTCCAAGAAACAGTACTTATGTCTTGTTGGGATTCAACCTTAATCTGTTGACCACTATCCATCCTCCAGACACTCACACAGGACATTGCTGCCTTCTCTAGTTCTCATTTAAATTAGAGGTAGAGCTGGGTATCATCTACATACTGGTGAGCACCCAGTTCAATTCCCCTGATGATCGCTTCCAGTGGCTTCATATACTGTAGATGTTAAAAAGTGTCAGGGAGAGGACAGAGTCCTGAGGCACCCCACAAGTGAGTGCCCAGGGGTCCAAACACTCATCCTCCCACACCACTTTCTGGACAGTTCAGGAGGAAGGAGCAGAGCCACTGCATAACAGTGCCCCCAACTCCCAACCCCCTTAAGTGGTCCCAAAGGATACAATGGTTGATGGTATCAAAAGCCGCCGGGAGATCCAGCAGAACCAGGAAACTGCTTTCACCTTTGTCCCTAGCCTGTTTGAGAACATTGATGAGTGCAACCAAAGCAGTTTCTGTTCCATGATGTGGCCTGAATCCCGACTGGAGGGGATCAAAATGGTCCACATCCTCCAGACATGTCTGGAGTTGTTCAGCAATCACCTGCTCAATCACCTTGCCTAGGTATGGAAGACTTGAGATTGGGTGATAGTTGGCCATAATGGCCAGGTCCAAATATATATTTTTAAGACGCTTCTTTAAGTGAGTCCATGAAGACCTTCCTCACAGAGGGAAGCATTCACCACCACACAGAGCCCATTGCCCAGCCCTGTCTAGCTTCCTTTCATGAGCTGGAATGGGTAAGGATCAAGGAGACTGGTCAGTTTCACTCATCCAAGCAGTCTGTCCACATCCTTGGATATAACAGGTTGAAACTGATCCCATACAACCTGACTAGACAGAGCTCTGGCACTTTCTCACCCCAGCCCTGCTGCCATGGTGGAGTCTCCCTCTTTCCAAATTTGAGCACTTCTATCTGGAAAAAGCTTTGCAAAGTCATTGCAGGAGATCTTGGAGTCCTTACCCTGATAGCAAAGGTGTGTATCAACTTGTAAAGGCATTGGAGATTTGCCAAAGACCACCCAAAAGCATCATACATGTGTGGTCTACAACAGAAGTTTGACAGTATGACTTGTCTCCTGTCTGTCAAGATACCTGATAATAGCTTCAAACTGGGGGTCATAGGTATCCCCCCAGAAACCCAACATTGTCTGATTCACTCCCAACCTGTGCCCATTTTTTTTTGTCCTTTTGTGCAGCAAAAGCCCCATGTTTGGCAGTGCTACCCAAAAGGCACAGTAACTGATACGTCAAGGAAGGGGCAAAGCGCAGTGCAAGGCACTCTTTTACTTTTTGTCCCTCTTCTGAAGGCATTTGGGGCGCAGGGTTGCCACCTTCCTTGCATCAGGAGGTTTGCCTTGTGCAAAGGGAGGGGGCGAAGTGCTGAGAGCTGCTAGGCCATACAGTGAAATGGAGGAGCAGCTGAGGCACACAGCTCCCCACTGCGGGGAAAAGGTTCCTGCACCTTTTTCCCTAGAAAAAAAGCACTGGTCCTAGAACAGATAATTTGGCAGTCAGTCTGTGAGCACTCGGGAAAAGATGCTGTGATTAATAAGAGCCTGCATGGGTTTCTTAAAAACAAGCCCTGCCAGAAGGATCTCATTTCTTTTTCTGGAAGGAATTACTAGCTTGGTGGAGTGGGAATGCTGTGGACACAGTGTATCTTGATTCCTGTAAGACTTTTGACCAAGTCCCTCATGATATTCTTGCAAGGAAGCTGGTAAATCTGATTTGAATGAGGTAACCGTTAGGTGGATTTGTAGCTGGTTGACTCACCGAGCCCAGAGAGTACTCCTCAATGGTTCCTCGTCATCCTGGGGGAAAGTAACAAGTGCAGGGTTCTCTTCTGGGCCCATTGCTCAATAACTTTATAAAGTACTTGGATGAAGGAATTGAGGGGATGCTCATCAAATCTGCAGATGACTGCAAATGCCACAGAAGACTGAATCAGGATTCAAGATGACCTTAACAGATTGGAGAACTGGGTGCAAGCTAACAAAATGAATTTCAATAGGAAAAATGTCAGGTTCTTTACTTAGGCAGGAACAACCAGATGCACAAAAAAGGATGGGGAACACCTGGCTTAAAGGTAAAGGTAAAGGTCCAGTCGTGGACGACTCTGGGGTTGCGGAGCTCATCTCACTTTACTGGCTGAGGGAGCCTGCATACACTAGCAGGTAAAATATAGTAGTTAAAGTGATACAGTACATACTTGTAGATACATGGATGCAATGTAAAGATATAAGCACTTTGGACACAGTATAAAGTAAAAGATACAGGAATGTAATAAAAGATACAGGAATACAGTGATACAGTATAAGAACACAGATACAATTATACAATATGATACAATGGAAACAAGAGGACCTAGAGACTTTATAAATCATATAACGGTCATTTAAATTTCTTATAACAATGGCATCGCCCATTCAATGCAATTCTACTTATCAGCACGTGCCTGAGGTTTCTGCCGGGACTCTTCGGGCGCTGAGTGTTGGGTGCGCCCGCGAGGGGAGCCACAGTTGGGTGGGCTGGCTGCCTCCCTGCCATCTTCTGGCCCAGGGAGGAGGATGTGTGTGGATGCAGGTGCGCTCTGCCTGCGCTCAGAAGTACACGCGTTGTGGAAAGCCTGGGGAATATTAGCTCAGGAGACTCGTGGCCCCACGCCCCCCGGTCGGACTGTGTGGCGGGGCTTGGAGCGATGAAGAAGCCCACAACCTGCCCCCGTCGCCGCCGCCTCCTCCTCCCTCCTCCCGGGGGCTCCCTGGGTGCCTGCACTTCGCGTCTCCTCTTTGGAGAGCGCCAGCTCCCGCTTTGCGCATGCACTCGGCAGTGGCAACCAGGGGCGGGTGCCGCTCCGCCTGCCTGTCTCTCTCCTGGCCATCACTCCCTGGGGGGGGGGCGAGATATTGAGGTCTGTCTGGGGCAGTCTTTTAATTTCGTGACTGCTGTCACCATCTGCCGTGATCATGGAGCCCAAGAAGGTAAAATCTGTCACTGCCTCCATTTCTTCCCCTTCTGTTTGCCAAGAGGTGATGGGACCAGTGGCCATGATTTTAATTTTTTTTTTTTAATGTTGAGCTTCAGACCATATTTTGCCAAGGGTTGCCAAGGTTTAAAAGGAGATGAGCTGGATTCCTGGAGAGGACCAGACCTTCAGCTTCCAAAAGAACGTTCGAAAACCAGAACACTCACTTCCAGTTTTTGGTTGTTTGGGAGCCAAAATGTACGATTCCCAAGGTGTTCGGGAGCCGAGGTGTGACTACTAAAAAACAGACTGGGCTGAGTGATATCTGGTTTTCAGCATTGTGATGTATCAGCAGCTAAACCTCATGGTATTCCAATATATCAGAATGTCTGAAACTGGACCCCGGAACTGGTCTGTGACCGTAATAATAAAATTCTGATTCTGAAGCTGGAGATCAGGCGTGGGGCTGAGAGAATGGAGCTGCCAACTGAAGGAAAGCATTGCTTTTGCACATGACTATGGCATGATGGGAAGCATTGCTTCTGCACATAACTGTGGCATGATGGGAAGTCTTGCTTCTAAGCTTTGTTTTGCTCACGCTGCACAAACCGTGCTGATGCTAAGACATTCCATCATCA